AGGGTCATGTATTAACTTAGAAAAACAACTCTTGCCAATCGTGATATCTCGTCAAGACCAGCCCATTTTTTTATTGCAAGGCGCAGCTGTTCTAAGTTTGCAGACGGTAGGGAGTCGTATCGTCCCCATATCCCCATCAGTCCGCGCTAAGAAAATGGGAGAATAGGGCGAGGTTCAAGGCTCTGCGAAGGGCACCACGGCTCAACGGGCGCATGGACATGGCCAGGCAGCGGTTGCCAATCACTGCATTCCACGGCCAGGGGCAGTCTTTGCGTAAGCGCGGAGCTATTCAAACCCACTGCCAGCGGTGAAAAGTGTCTTTTTCTGCCACCGTTGAAATTTGAAATGAATGTTACCTGCCAACATATCGTAGTCCAACCATTCGATGTATGAATGTTATGAATGATTTGTCCATCCCTCTAATACCCTGGTTGCCATCCCTCTCACGGGTCCTTGCAAGTTAAGCTCTTCCATTCTGTTCCATGCATTCCTTCTCACTCTCACGGCCATTCTTGTTGCACTAGTTCTTCCTCGCACACTCATACCTACTAGCATTGTCCCATCAATTTCGTCCCGCTAGTCCTCTCCAGTGGCACACAGGGTCGGGGTGAATCACTTTTGCGAAAGTGGAGATACATTAAGACCGTTGGCTCCACGTTTGTAGTGATGCTTCCTTCTTTCCTCGAAGCGTCAGGCCGTTTCACATGTGGTGTCCGGTGTCAGCCGGCTCGAGGGACGATAGTGTATAGCAGGACACCCGCCCCTTGAAGCGAGGGTGGCTTCCTTCCTTCGTTTTCGCCGAGGTAGGATCCTTGCCGCCGAGGAGGGCCTGTCTTTCCAATGCCAAACACTGGGGGATTGCGTGACCGGGATCCTTACGTCGGCGCCACCGAGCACGTGCTTCGCAAACGTTTTTAATGGGTCCTTGCGACGACTTGCCGAGTGGCAACTTCCGCAGCATCTTGTGGGCACGGTTCCTGTTTTATGAGGGCTCTCTGGCCGGCTACCTCTCCCTCCTGAATCAGATCGGCCCTTCTACGCGAACACTTCTGCTCTGACAATCGCAAAATCCTGCGTCCTCTTTCCGCAAAGTTGCCAGTACCAACCAAGTGGGCGTGGAAGCCCTGCATGCCTGGTCGCATTGGGCCTTACGCGCCCGCTAGTTGTTATTAGTTTATCCAGATTATCTCCTCGGCTTCTCCCCGACAACATGGCAAGATCGAGATAATGTCTGTTTGCCTTCAAAATCACCTTCCTTCAAAATGCGTTTAATGTTCACCTCGAAAGCCTGAATGGCACATTCACATCTGACACTGAAGTTCACTGATTTGTAACATCATTTGCTTAAATATCATATCCAGTTTGTCGTCATTTATATCGCATTTGAGGCCTAGCCATCGCGGGGTCTAGCGGCAAGTTGATAGATGCATGGCACACCGAGGTCAAGTTCATAATTGTCAGTATAATATAAGAAGTCTGTCAGATATGTACTTGTGTGCAATAAATTATATTCCACTGAATATTTTGTAACATGTCACTGAGGGTGTAGTGCCACATAGGTGTTGCCCTGGTGACTATCTCGGCTTTGCGTGTGCGTCCGGCTTAATGACGTGTGTGTCATGCCATTTCATGTCATGTTGAAATGGCGATTTTCGAAATTTCTGCACGAGGGCTCTTAAGGCACTGAATGCTGCATCACACTGATGGCATTCATCGGCTATTAACAATAAGCTCAACTCGCTCTCTGACAAACGGACCGAAGAACCACGCTGCCGACTTCGCCACTAAGGTCGTAAGGCTGGTGATTCGGTGCTGAATAAATGCTCAAGTTCACCTAGCTTCCTCATTATAAAACGCTCGTCGAAAAGACGAGTGTGCCCATTTAGAGGCTATTTACACTTGCTGGGTTGTGATCTACCCCAGTGAACTGCTCAGCTATCTAGGTCGACAATAAAGAGAAAAATTGGACAGTGGCTCACCTTTAATGTCTCAACGAGGGGAAGCTTTATTTTCTTTATCTAGGTCGGAATGCTGGCTATTTTGAAACGTTAAGTTGAAACGATCATATTTCGGAAACATTTAGCCAAATATAATGCAGGTTTTAATATTTCAAGCCCGAGCCAGTGTGCCCTAACAGTAGCTCGTTACCAATATGAAATGCTTGAAGCTTAAACCAGTGTGTCACTATGGACCACGTGATACTCACATTCCTAAAGTCAAAGTGCACCTCGAAAAAGGCCGCTGCGGTCAACACCATAATCAAAGTCATAGTATAATGTTTCGTTGAGTTTGTGGGATAAAAGTTTCATGTTCGCACACATTTTAGTCCAAACAGAGTGTTTCAAGCTTCCGTAGTATTTATTATACAAACATTTCGAAAACTTAGTGTGTTGCAAACATTATAGAACATACACACAAAAAAGCAAGGCAAATGAAATGTATTGCTGTCATAGCACTATGGAAGCAATGCATTTAATTTGTCATCGCTGGATGAGCACGGGGTTCAATGAGATTTCTCCCGTAGGAGCGGCTACTTGAGATAGAATTTCTGAGCTATTCAGGAGTTCGAAAAAACGGTATTACTCATCAAATCGTACGCCCCGATCTGAATAAAGCAAAGCACAAAATGGTGATATACTCCCCTTAAGAAATTTCCCTTCAGCCCTCTGACTGGTCGCAAATCAGCTGCTTCCTCTCATTACTCCGGCTTACATTGAAGTAATACACTTGAATTGATGTGGGTCCAGGGACGCAGCCAGACCGTTGGCCAGCTGGGCACGGGGTTGACAAAGCTTCATGATAGTAGTGATGTAAATGCAGTAAAATAGTAACTGGCCTGATAGTAAAAGGCCTCCACCGAAAAAAAATCGCCGGATATGGCCCATTTCTTACTGGGGACATGTTTTTCTTAGATATGACATATATATATATATATATATATATATATATGTAATATTTGTACTTTCTATAACTGGACTACAGGCTAGACACTGCTGCGAGATCAATTTTACATTAAGTTTATAGTAAATAAACTGATAAAATCATGCGTTAAATGACTGCATGAAATAAATCGCTGGCGATCTTTATTTTACAATGGTCCAGTGAACTCTTTTTAAACCGATGAAACTCACAAGCTTTGTCAGAATTTTCATCTGGGTTGCGCAAAAATAGGAAGGACTCCGCGAATGTAGATTACAGATCAAAATGGGCCAACAATTTGTATTAACATGGCCAAGTTACGTTTGTTTAGAAATGTTCAACATTCAGTCCGAATTGATAAGTGGTACAAATTATGTAACGTGTTCTGAGCATTCCCACTCATCGAGCAAACCTCGACACCAGGCGCTGCAGTCTCCTTAGGCCGCGCAGCGTCGGCCCCGTCGTCGTCAACAAGTGGACGAAAATTGTGACGCACCTGAAAGAAGCACTTTTGAACGCTTTTGGACACCAAATTATACATTTAGAGATGTTCTGTGTGTGCATGTTTCACCTGTGAGGCTTATACATTAATGACAATAACGCATTGGTCTTTAGAGCACCGTGAAGTGGTGCTGGAATCTGTTGGTGGAACTGGAAGAATAAAGGTAAAATCTATATTTTCCGTGTTGCTTCACCTGTTAATCTGTCCAGAAAACAAACTCAGAGTGGTTAAAAATCGCACAGCGTAGTTTTTGAACGGTACGAATTAATGTTGAATAACATTCAGAAACATTATTTTACGATGGTCTTTGTTGCGTGCTCGGCGCCCGCCCCCTTGCGTTACTTGCATTGGCCAACGCCGGTCGGTTTTACGAAAACTGCGAACCAAATCATCGCTTTTCCTGCTCTACGACATGACGGGTGTGGCATTGGGGCTTCATGACGCACTCAGCTGCGTGGGCTTTACGGTGCCGCCAGCCTCTCACCTTGATGGGATGGGCGGGCACCGCGGGAAATCAAACTCCATACCTGTGGTTCACCAGGCGCGCAGTGGTCAGCGTATGCGTGTTAACCACTGCACAAGCGGCGCCCGGTGTGCAGGCTCAAAGCGTTTGATGATATTTGTTTCACTAGTCGATTCTGCAAAATAATGCATGTTCTCAGAGAAACATGAGATTTCATTGTGCGTTTTGAACTCGTTTCAACCCACTCCTTTCAACACTAATGGAATCACTTCTTTCTGCCCGGGAATGCCCCCCCCCCCCCCCCTGAACAGAACACTAGGGGGCACTTTATCGTTCCCGGTCAGACCTGAAGGGCCACTCTGTCCCACCGCGGTGTGTTTTCCGGTCGCCATTCTGGTGACACGGAGCGGCATCCCCTGGCCGATGCGGAGGCCCTTAGACGGATACATTACATACAACAGTTGACCCCGGATCGACGCATGAGCTGTCATTAACGCAACAACATCCTTGCTCGCCGCAGGTGGTCAAATAAGTGGCACAGACTCCAGTTGGGCTTAACGGGCCCATCAGGCCTCTGCTCCCCCCCCCCCCCCCCGCCTGCGCAAATGCGTGGGTCGCATGATATTCAACGCAGTTAGTGGAATTAGTTATAATAGCCCCTTCCCCATAGGTCGTTGCATGAGTCATGAGTCGTAAGATTTACACAAAATGCCTTTTGTCTCAGCCACGGAAGCCCTCGCCAGTCAGGATCTCGACAGCGGTGATGACTTCCGCAATGACTTGATGGCTTGACTCACTCCAGCCGGAATGGAGACTACACCCGTGTTTCATGTAGTGAGTGCAAGTAAAAAGTGCGATGTGAACACAAACAACGCGACGAAAGAAGCCTTAGCGTTATCCCAGATCTGGCTGTTAAGAATAGTACACAGTAAAAAATATATGAAAGTGAAAAAGAAGTGATTAGTACAAAGTGGACAATTTTGTACCAAATAGCTCTGAATAGCTGGGAACTTAATTATTCCCCAACTGAAGGTAATTTCCAATTTTCCAAAAATCAACCGACTGAAGGTAATTTCCGATATGGAAGCGTTTTAAGCGACGTCGATGACGCATTCGTGACAGTCCTAAAAATCAGCAAACCGTTACTGTTACGTAAAAACCTGTGCCTTTCGAGCAATAGGCGTGATTCTGGTTTTTGTCTGTGGCATTACACTTCACGAGCCGGGTCGCACAGGTGCAACGGACGGCTGCATTCCGGTTTGTATAACTGTGGGTGCCTGTGATTATGTACAATCAAAGCTGTAGATATCGAGTGCAGTGGGCCATCCCTTCTTTTTGAGAATCATTAACCCTTTATTAATGCATGGAGAGGGTAACTTCAACTTCTCATTGCTTTCCCTTACTTTTGGGTTTGCTCCTATGCCCAGGGTAATGAAATTAAGTGAGGGAGGGGAAAGAGGGGCTTAAGGCCTCCAAACAAAGTTTATGGGAGTCTATTTTTCCTAACTGAAAGTATTTCACCCACATGTAGAGTATCAAAACTCAGATCAAGATAATTTCCATTATGAGCTAGAGAAAATGAATTTGAGTTAGACCACTTCCTGTATCATAAGGCCAGTGTTTGGGGCAATAGCCCAGTTTTTTGGAGCCTTTGGCCACCTTTTTGAATAACATAATCAGTACTCAGGAAAGGGAGGTTTTATGTTATATTAAGGAAGGATGCACCTTTGGTGGCTTGAGAAACCCAGTTACAAATCAGAGGTCCCCAGTTCTGGTTTAGGAGGCACCCTGTATATTCAGGCACCCTCCTCCCCATTCACTCTCCAGACAGTTGTGGTTTCACATCAGGATGCAATATTTTGGGACAGGCTGGCCCCCTGGTTAGGTATAAGGGTCTTCATCATGAAATGTGCGTATTTTGTTCCGGATTAGTATTTAGGAGGCTTCTTTACATTGATAGGTCATTTTCTGGAACAGGTAGCCCTGTTTTAGATTAGTGAGACCCTATATTAGGTAACTAGAAGATTGCCATTCTAGATTTTTTAATGGTTCATGCTTTTTTAAATTCTAGATATTGGATACTAGGTTTTTTAACTGACTGTGACAGAGACATTTACAAGATTTTTAGGGCAGCTTTGATTCTGCTCTAAGCAGGGCAGCAAATGGCCCAACCTAGGGCAGCCTTGCTCTTACTCCTCACTGCCAGTAATTACAGAGTTTTTCTCATGCTGACTACAATGTATCATTGTTTGATAGCTTCATGGAACATCTATTTGATGCTGAGATATTGCCAAACTAGTCATGCAAAATTGACACTAGCACATACTTGTAGTTTGGTCTCAAGAGGTGGCCATTGTAGTGCTGGAGGTGCTTGCTGGATTATGTGCATCTATTTTGGACATGTGCTGTTTTTGTATATTTACCTGAAAGTAAGGTTTTTGCTTGTATTCACAGACTTGATTTTGATGCTATTCTTAAGTGGGTTGACTATAAATCCTGTTTCCATAATGAATAACAATCATGTCCAATTTTTTATCTTATGTAGCCCAAACCATTTGATATTCATTATAAAATCCTGCTCACTAAGGTCAGATATAAAAGGCTCAACAAGTATGTTCTTCTTGACTGTGAATGTTGCATGGTTAATGGGGTGGTGGGATTTTGATGGTGTTTCTGTGGTGTCCTGCATGCCAGAATGACTTAAAAATAGTCTGTATGAAATGTTCTGTACATTTTCACTAGCATCTAGCTCAGAAAGTGGATGATTTGAGATCTTATGAAGGGCAAGGCTGTGAACTGAACAGAATGATGTTCAAAATGGCTATTTCATTTCCAAATCCCATGCAGCTGTGGAACATTCCCTTGACTTTGAGACAACTTGTTTTTTAAGGAGTCCTCACCATTAAGATACATTTGTAGACCTCAAGTGTGTTGTTAGAACTGAAATGGGCAACTCCTGGTGGATTTAGATGCCCCTCTGCTCTTAGTGTTTTTATTTCATCCTCAGAACATGTTTTCACATATCAGGGATGCACAATGGGTCATTGGAGGCACCTGTCCAGGCTTTGGGGCAACCAGACTTGTTAGGCATTATTAAAGCCCTTCAAGCATATTTTCAAAACATAGAGTCATCTTTTGTGTCCACAGAATTATCCCTCAATGATTCAAGGCTCCTTTTAATTTGTAGGGGCATTTCTCTGAAGGTCAGGGGTATTCACACTTGCAACACTTTCTTTCATGCCTTCAGTGTGAATTTGGATGCCAGGATGTGATGCAGTATTCCTCCCGCAGGTACTCAAGATGCCTGTAGATATCCTTGCTTATGGCTATGCAGCTACTGTTGCAGCTGGTGGCATCATTGGCTATGCAAAAGCAGGTAAGTGGTTGCATTTATCATGACCTGGACTTGGAAAGGCTGGTGACAAATCAAACTTGTTTTTTTAGGGGGGGGGGGGAGTCTCAAATATGACAATCATTACAGCAATGCAAGTTTTGAAAGGTACAAATTTTTTTGGCATCCCCGATGGTGGCCATGACCCCATTGACCCCATCACACCTGCTATTGTTTGATACATCTGTGTGTCACCATGATCAATTTGAAAAGACTGAACTACACCTCTTTAAAGTGGATGGATTTTTGCGGTCCGCGCACATGTTAAGCAGTGGCTGTTGTGTCAACCTGGACGCCACCCCCTGGCCGTGAAAATCGGATCATCGGCAGAATATTGCGGCGAAAGCTTAGCGTCTTGCAAAGCTCGGCCCCCCCCCCCCCCCCGCACAGGCTTCAGGCCACTCCACTCAGGGGCGAATAGTGAGCATCTAAAATGGCTTGATCCACGGCTGGGTGGATGACCCAGCCGTGGACCCAAATGACCCTCCACAGCTGGGTGAATCAGAAGGTGGGACTGTTATCAGCACAATGATCATTATGAGCTGGATTGAGTTTGCATATGTCGGACCACCTCGGCGGTGTTTGGCCTTCACCTGTGCCTGTGCTGCAGGTTCGGTGATGTCCCTTGGCGCCGGCCTGCTGTTTGGCGGCACCCTGGGTTACGGTGCGCATCAGGTGTCGCAGGACCCCCAAAAATACCACCTCTCGCTGGCCACCAGCTCTGTGCTCACCACGATGATGGGCTACCGTTTCTTGAGCGGCGGCAAGTTCATGCCCGCAGGCCTCATCGCCGGCATCAGGTCAGTGGTGGGGAGCTCCAGGGGACGGGCCGGCGCCGCCTGTATGTGGAGGCGGCCGCCATGCCATTCGCGTCAGGGCGAGAGCGGAGGCAATGCCAACTTGCGTGCGATGCTCCTGAAACTGACAAATGGGGAGTAGGTACGGTGGTGGACGCACTTTCAGACCTCCCGGTTGCCATCATGTAAGGCGCACAGTCGAGCATCGGCGGATAGGAGCTGTAGTTATGCACACGGTAACAGAAAGTTTGCGATAAAACAGCAGTAATAACCTCATCCCTCAGAGAAAAACCAGGAGAATGGAGATATAGTTAGGTTGATCTTTGGACAACATGCCGTTATTGAAACAATAGCAAAAGCTTTTGTTATTGTTTCGTTGGAGACATGTTGCCGAAGTATCAACCTAACTGCATCTCCATTCCCCTGGTTTTTCCTCGAACTTAAGAAAGCTTGCGACGATCACAACAGATGACCAGCACTGTTATCAGCCTTCACAACTCCCAGATTGGGCCGCCAATCCCCAACCCGACCAACGCGTGGGACAACACACGGCGTAGCACAATGAGGCGCATATGCCGGTTGCTAGACCGAACGGCGCAGCCCTGATCAGTACCAGCTGCGACGTCCGTGGCTGCCGGCTGGTGGCGCCACTGTCGACGGAGGTCCGCGCTGCTGCGCCGTCCCCTGGTGCTCTGTCCTCCGCTCCTGTGACTCCCGTCCAGCTGTGCGTCGGAGTTACAGCAGCTGGGAACGTTCACAGCCTTGTATTGGCTGCGTGCTGTCGTCCCCGGGTGGTGTTTAACGACCTCACTCCGTGTCTGCCAGTGTGCTGTTTGTGGCCCGCTATGGAGTCCGCGCTCTCACCGGCACCAAGCAGTAGAGCGGGGATCAGCTGACGCCGACCTCCACCGGACATGGTGGGCTCTTCCAGGCCCTCTGCGGCGTGGCTTGGCCCGCTCGTCCGGCGCGGCCCACCGGCCGTTCGTGGCCGCGAGGCCTCGCCGAAGGCTATTTGGATGTGGATGCTCTCTGACTGGAGTCGTGGATGGGTTTCTTTATCTTGCAGTGCAGGTGCCCTTGTTGAGTGATATTTGGAACAATTTTTTTTGCGAGGCTGAGCCTTCTTTCCAAGTGGCTTACTCCCCTGCGACGTTGAGTCTAGTTTTCCGTGAACTGAGACCAAGCGTTCGACCAATGCTCTTGTTTGGGGCCTTCCTCTTCGGTGAATGAGGACGAATCTAGCTCGGAAATGTACAGGGCACGTTGTTTGCATTTGTACACCGTACTTCATTAAGCCATTTACCGCAATGAGGAGATCGAAATATTGTCTCAAACGCGGCTGCATAAGGTTATTGTTTGGTGCAGGTTTATGGGCATTGGGTAGTCATGTGTCTTTAAGGTTTCTGGGTTTGAAAGCCCCTGGTCACACACGTTTATCTGTAATTCGCGAGGTGATGGAGGTTTACTGGTGGAAAAAGATGGGCTGAAGCTTCCATTGTAGAGTGATCCCACTCTAGAATGGTATGCTTCTAGAACGCACGGCAGTGACAGCGGCCGTCTAATCCTCTGTGGTGTTGGTTGCGCTGGAGCTTCCGTTGTTGTTAGCTATGGAATGGCATGCCTTTGTGACTTGCTGTGGCGACTGTGGTTAGCTGACCTTTCCTGCAGCCAGGACGAGTCGGTTGTTTCGGCGTCGAGTCACATCCTCTGTAGTGTGCATGCATTTGCAGACCAAACTTGTGCTGGACGATGGACCGCCACTGAAACGGCTGTGGAATCAATCAATACAGTGGTGTGTCTGCCAGAGCCATCTTTGTCGTATTTCTCTGTGGTACTGGGCGAGTCAGAGCCGTGCCCGAGCAGGGGGCGTCAAAAGTGCGATCCAGGAAACGCCTCTTGTGCGTCACGTGGATGGTGCTATTTTGGCCATTCCCTGTCAACATGCTTCCGTCGGGAGAAAAGCCGAATGCCCCCTGCGTGAATTTCACGATACCACCGCGTGTGAGCTTGTGGTATGACGAACATCAGCAAGCTGACAACTTTCCTCCGTCAAACCAGTGTGCTCCCCATCACAGAATGTGATGTAAGACCAGCCCGCTCGCGCCGCCGTCGTGCCTGCGTGGGCTGGGGGGCCTCCGTGCGAGCTGGTTCCCATCAGGAGGCGGCGGGAGGCACCGCGCCCGGCCGTCGGCGGCCGACACCGGCGGCTCTGGTGTCGGAAGTCCAGACCTCCGGTGTATTGCCAGACCCTGCAGCGCCTCACACCATACCCTGCAGCGCCTCACACCAGGCCCTGAGGGGCTTCACACCAGGCCCTGCGGCGCCTCGCCCAGACCCAGCGGGGCCTCGCACCAGGCCTCGGAGACAGATATGTGGCAGTCAGCACTGCATCGCCCGGCCTCGAGCCGACATCCCGTCGGGCGCGGACGTCTCTAGCGGTGACGATGCACACTACACACACGTGGCAGCGACACGGAAGCGGGCGACGCGGGGCGATGGTACACCGCGGCATAGCTGGCGCCACCGACGCGTCCCGTGCGCCGGAGTCTCGCTGGCTACGGCCAGCGGGACTCCCGGGAACCGGGCACCGCCGGCGGACGGGGTCCACGAGGGCGCGAGTGCCGCTGCACTCAAGCGAGCTGATATGTCTGGCAACGTTGAACAACGCGGCGTTTCGGGGGTAATTAGGCGTTTTATCGTTTTGGGGGTTTTACATCCGTCCGGTGCCACTGCGTTATGGCGAACATGGGGGAGGGAGGCAAAGCCCAAAGAAACATTTGGAAAAAGCGCTGATAAATAGCGTCACGTTGATATCGAAACATCAATGTCAGTGGAAACCCGCATGCTTCCTGGAAGCGCAGCTCCAATGTGTGCTGTAGAAGCCATTCAAATACGCCTTTAGGTCATTAGTCCGGTCCTGGCCGGGGTGGCTCTCCGCCTTTCCAGTCAGTCCCACATGCATCCGCGCGCAGCGGGAACACGTCTTGCTTTTGAAGCGAATACACATCCGCCGATCACTGATCGCAAAACACGATCTTCACTGTCGTTCCGCCGCCTTGTGGTCATGGTCTCCCATGCTCTGAGCCTCTGCCTGTCCTCGGTGGCGGCGCTCGGCGCGCGGCAGAACGCCAGCTGGTGACGGACGCCGCCGCGCCGCAGTCGTCAGCGGCGTCAGCCTCACACGTGACTCAGTGGCAGCGAGTTGTGCGACGGCGCCGGGTTGGCGTCGCTCAGCGTGTGCGACGTCGTGTGCGAGAACGCCGCGTTGTGCGGCAGCAGCGGCTCCTGGCCGGCGATGCTCGGCGCCGCTGCCGACTCGGCGCCGGCGAGGCCCGGCGGCGGCGGCGGCAGCGGCGCCGGCGCCGGCTGCCGCTCCTCGGCCCGCCGCGGCGGGCCCGCCCGGCGGCAGCCGAGCACCGCGCACCACGCGCGCAGCGTCTTGCGCGAGCAGACCCAGATGATGGACGTCACGCCGACGGCCAGGGACATGAAGTATCGCAGCAGGAAGATGTTAAAGTTGGGCACGCCGCCGCTGCCGCCGCCGCACGGACAGACGAGTGCCCTCTCCCAGGCGGGCCGCAGATGCTGCTCGTACACGAGGCAGGCGACGACAACCGACGCCGGCACCGTGTACAGGACCGAGAACACGCCGATGCGGAACATTAGCTTCTCCAGCTTGTCCTTGTTGCCACGGTCCTGCTTGATGGCGCTGCGGATGCGGAAGAGCGCGACGAAGCCGGCCAGCAAGAAGGAGGTGCCGAGCAGCAGGTAGGCCACCAGCGGCGCCAGCACGAGCCCGCGGAGGTTGCCCAGGCTCTGGCCGCCCACGTAGCAGACCCCGGTCAGACCGTCACCGTCCACCGCCTCCAGCGCTAGCGCAGCGATCGCCTTCCCCGCCGGGATGACCCAGGCCGCCAGGTGGAAGTAGGGCGAGTAGCCGGCGATCACCTCGTTGCCCCACTTGAGGCCGGCCGCCAGGAACCAGGTGAGCGAGAGGATCACCCACCAGACGGCGCTGGCCATGCCGAAAAAGTAAACAAGCAGGAAGACGACGGTGCAGAGGGCGGCGCCGGCCGGCACTCCGGTCGCGTCGTACCGGATGGCGCCACCGTCGCAGGCGGTGAGCTCGTGACCGGCACCAATTCGCACCAGGTAGCCGGCTGACACCAGCAGGTAGCAGCCGGCCAGAAACACGATGGGCCGCTCCGGGTACTGGAAGCGGCTCTGGTCGATCAGGAACGTGGCCACCGTCAGCGAGCTGCTGACGGCGCACAGCACCGCCCAGCTCAGCACCCAGCGCTCGGCGAAGCGGTGCTGCGCGGCGCTGAAGTAGGGGGCGCGGCAGGGCAGCGCGCACTCGGCCACGCCGCCCAGCACCACAGACCGGTTGAAAAGCCGGTGGCCGGGCCGCAGCGGCACGGCGCGCGGCGCGGCGCACTCGCACGCGCAGGGCCGCGGCGGGCGCGGCGGCGGCGGCAGCGGCGGCGGCGGCGGCGGCGCCTCGCCGTTCTTGTTGTCCATGCAGAGTCGCTCCGGGTCGCCGTAGTTGGGCAGCAGGGAGCAGTTGAGCCGCTCGGGCCAGGTAAAGTGGTAGTCGGCCATGAGCGGCTCGCAGCCGGCGCGCGCCCGCTCGCACACCGAGCGACACACGGGCAGCGAGCGCTGGTACTGCTGCAGGCAGATGGGCACGTACGTGGCGCACAGGAAGAACTGCAGGTCAGGCCGAGCACCGCACCTCGACCAGCGGCCAGTACTGGTGCACCTCGAGCCCCGCCTCCTCCTGCGTGTCGTGGTGGAACTGATTCGGCATCAGCGTCATGTTGTAGCCGATGCTGCGACACATCGGGATGCTGATCTCCTGGCACTGGAACGTCGGCTCCTGAGCAAGCAGCGCGGCCGGCAGCAGCAGCAGCAGGAGCCAGTGTAGCAGCGTCGACATCGCTGGAAGGACGGTGGCGTCGCACCCACACGGCGTGGTGGTAATGAAGCAGCGGGCGGCGTTAAACTGAGCCTGACCGCATCAGATCTGGAACGGGGCCAACGAGGATTAGCTCTGAAGCTCACTGCAACTCGTATGCGCCACAGTCGTCGAACATAATATGCTTCCTGGAGGTTTACATAAATTGCGTTCACCCGCCCAATGGGAGCACATGTGTACCTTCGCAACTATGCGTTCGGGTCATCATGAACGCACCCATGCGCTTACGCCAAATTATGCCGCTCCTTGCTGAAACCTTTCCAATGTCTCAGCCCAGCACGCGTTGTAGACCTCTGTGGGTCAGCGTCTCTGCCATGGTCTAACATCATCTGGCTGTTGACAAGACCTTTTTTCTCACTCGGGATTAATGCCCCTACCTATTCCGGGGTCACACTTTTATCCTCTTTCCCCAACGCAGGTCTGCACCCTGTCCACGCGAGTCTGCACCCTGTCCTCCCTGAGTCTGCACCGTCTTCGTCCTGGGTCTGCAACCCTCCCCGCCCCGGTCTGTAGTCAGCACCCCTCCCCGCTCCCGGCACCGCGTGGCGACGCCGTCAGGCCCCCGGCCGTCACCCTCCGAGGCCGTCTGGACGCCGGCGCCGCCCAGACCGATCGAACCTCATCAGCACACGCCGTCTCCTCGCAGACGAAGGGTGGAGGCCGCTCCTCTTGGTCCGATAGCACGCAGGGAATGGTGTTCTCCAACACACCAACGGGGCTGGAAACCATATCCGGTGATTGGTTTGCACCCGTCCCTCGTTGGACGCTGGCTAGAGGCGTCGCCAGAGGCGGACGCAGGAAGCGATGACCCTACGTGAGGCTCGTGATCCAACGATTTGGTCACCCAAAATATCGCTTCCCATCCCCTTCCCCCACCCACCCCTCTCCGAGCTTCAACAGGAACCTCAGGTAACCGGCTGTCCCCGTGCGCCAAATTCGTACGACGCCCTTGGTACCGCTACAGCGCCTATGGGGCACCAAACGGGTCTACGGCGCACCGGTAGCCGTGCGCGGCTTTGGATGGATATACGAATTAGAAACATAAGAATCTGGTATATTAACAGTGCTACCGTCATAAAGTGGTGCTGTAGCTTTGTACCAGTTTAGTCGCATGCGTACCGGCCCCTAACAGCGGTGCAAGCACGCACTGAATGTCGGTGAGGTCGAGCCTACCTTGATTTTGTTTGAGATGACGTCACCTGGGGTGTCACTTTTTGATTGGTTGTGGGAAGCTCAGCCGATAAGGTTGGCATAACCCATCCCAAAACCTGATTTGTTCCCGGATTTGGCCCACCTAATTTGCCTTCCGAATGACAACGCCTAATTTTGTCAAAAAGGTTGATGAAAGACTGCTTGATGGAAGAATGACTATACGTTTGAAGCCCATGCGAGACTGCGGCTCTGTGAGGAGCTTAGAACTAGGTTCAATTCACGGAAAACATATTGTGAGACGGTCCAACATGATCACCGGGAACCAATTTCGTTAATATGCATGGAGCGTGGTGTGAGGCACGAAAGACAGTTTTATGCAGAATGAGTAGCCTGACGCGTGAAGACTAGAGAACAGTGTTCACATGGCACATTTCCTGTGTGGAGACTACGGAAAATGTGTCAGTGTGCACTGTGCACAAAATGTGTCTGATCGTCAGTCGTGTGAGCGTAGAGAGGCTAAGACATCTCTTTCTTTCCGTGAAAGTGAATAACCAGAACGCCGAGTGAGGTCCGCAACTTGTGCAGCACGTTCTCGAGTTAAAACGGGGCGCACGCATGTACTAGCCCACAATGGAAAAATTATGCACGTGCCACGTTAACAATGCATTGGGTTTGCGGTGAAAACATTTAAAGTGAAACAGCTTGTCTATGTGTGAAACTCCGGTTTATGGAGGTCGAGCTGTGCAAACAGATAATGCCCTCACACCATCCAGTAGCTTGCACGCACTTGATAGCTTGGACTGGCGGAGTTCGTCTTAAGTACATGCCAGTTCGATGGCGTTCGATCAGCCCTCGGGACACCTTGGAAATACACGCGGAGAGCACACGCGCCACCAACATGTTTTCTGTGAACGCATGGTAACCTAAAATGCGGTAATGGAGTACTGTGGTGCAGAATCCCAACTTTTAATGCATAATTTTTAACGACAGCAAAAGACCACGCGGATCTCGGATCTCAGGATACATGAATTGTTGCACAAACGTAATCTCCTCGCGATGCTTAACATACCAAAGTCGAGTTGGGACTTCGGCTCTCCTTCGCATGCTTACCATTGAGTAGCTTCACGTGCTTTTTGAGCAACGTCGTTTAGTTATATAGTTAAGAAAGAGCTCTCTCGCTGCGGTGCGCACAACACTCGCCGGTCAGTTTCCTTCCATGGATTTATCTGGCACGGACAATCGAAACTTTTTGGTTAAGCCACATCTGTGCCGCGCATTGCCTAATTTAAATAATAATAATTGACAAATTTTGGTTTGGCCACAGTGTCGCGTATTGGGGGACGGGACTCGAGAGCTTGAATGGCTGGAATGCTCGTAATGATCGTTACAACGTTCTTGAAGTGTGACGTCCGTGCTAAGAAAGTGTCCAACCTTATAAAACCCTTAAACCCTTAAACCAGCCACCTTATACTGAAAAGCTGACGCATATTGCAGTTGTATTTGTTCCAATTCACGTGTAATCTCGTGAAAAACCGGCCAATATTTTCAGACTAGCCCAACATGAAAGAAGTTGGAATGACAACATATAACTGATATATAGACACATGCAGGTACCTTTGCATGCATATGAACTTGTAATGTAACGGTACGTACACATAAGTGCCTACAGGATACTGTGTGGTATAAATTGAAGATAACACTAACAGGGTGTCTCAGTTGACAACTGTACCGGCATGCCAGATAAATTTTCTGCATTTCCTTGGTCCGGTGTCCTTTTTTACTCATACTCGTTGGGGGAGTGGCTTGGAGCGGGGGGGGGGGAGGCGACAGTGTAGTGGTTAACGCGTCTACGTTAATGGCCCCTCCCCGGGCGTTGCTGGAGACCGGAGCTCCCTAGCCCTGTAACTGTCGTGCCGACGGTTCAATTCCGACCTGGCAGTGTTTGCCTGTTACCACCACGGGTGTTGGCTGACCATGCATCTAATTAGGACATGCTAAAATGTCCTGGCGTCGGCGAAGCCCAGGCATTGTCGACCCAGACACCGATCGAGCATAGCCAGCGCTGAACCAGCACCAGCTGTTGTTGCCGTCCTGTCGAACCGTTTCATGACCTGCGTTTACGTAGTTGACGGTTTGCTCGACGAGTGGCGCCCTCACAGCTCGATGTACACCTTTCCGGCCTTTTAAGGCTATGAGCTTGCCCATACTCCGTCCCCGCCATCAAGGAACGCGCCCGCCGACTCGCCCCCGGGGAACGCTTCCACTGCGGCACGTGGTGGCGAGCTCGTCCGATCTCACTGGCGCTGCTGGGGCAGCGGACTGTGTCCCGCGGCCAGCGCGGCCCCGTCGACGGCCCCGCCACGGCCCGGCGCGGCCGGCGGCGGCGCGTTCGTGACTCGTCTGTGTCGCGGCGTCACGCCGACCTGTCGCGGCGCCGTGACGGGCGGCGTCACGCGAGTCTACGGCTGCCAGGCGCGCGACGGGGGCGGGGCGAGCCGCCCGCGGCTGCGCACGCGTCCAGTTCCGGCACGTTCCACATGAAGCTGCCGCAGGCCGGGTCAGAACCGAGCCGCGAAGCCTGCCCGGCGGAGCGGGCGGCGGATTTACGGCTGATTAGGGAAGGCAGGGCTCACTTCACAGCTGGGAGAAGACCGGCGACAGTTTTCAGTCCCCCTCAAGGAAATGGGTGCGGCAGGTCGATCGAATCGACTGCAGGAGCCCGGGAGGTTGCGAAAGGGGTAGATCTTCACCCCACTCCCATCATGCACGCGATGGATTGCCTTACCTCCATGCCAACAGAGGTTCACATCTCTGATTCCTCAAGTTACCCCGGTCGTTTACATAACCTCCGGTAGCTCCCCCACCCCAGGTCCCACGGACGTTTTGATGTCTTCGTGCAAGTTGGGCCCGTGGTGCACCATCTCTTGACATAAGACCACTTCCGTGTTCCCGCTCAATGCGAACTCCCCTCCCCCCCCCCCCCCCCCCCCACCCCCGACTTCACAATGCGAATTTCTTTCAAGTCCTGTTTTTGTATGGCTTCTGGAACTATCCCTAACCCTGTCCGCCCGTCTCTATGACGCTCTTAGCCCCGAATGACCCCTTTGTGACCATTTTCACCCCCCCCCCCCCCCCCCCCCCCCCCCCCGGAGCGCAACACCGCCCGATCGATGGACAGACATGGTAGCACGGAGTGGGATGTGCGGAGGGCAACCGTTGTCATGGCAACGGACGTGGCTCAGCCGCCGTCGACCAATCAATAGACTCCGACTGTGAAGCTCCCTGCGTCTGGTCCCCTGTGGAAGACCCCTACACTCACGGCGGCGCGCCCGCGACAAATGCGCTTCTGGAGGACAAGTGGCGTGCTGGAGACCTGTGGCGCGTCTCCTAACTCGTACAAATCGAAGAACTACGGGGCGCATAGACTGCAGTCCGTCTTGTGTTTCTACCGCTGGGTCTAATTAGCGACCAATGGCAGGCAATCGGGCAGAAGGTGGCACGTGCTCTTAGGCACAGGATCTGTTATCGGGAACATGCCGTCCCCCGCGCCTTTCCATAACGGTCGTGTTTGGACACTGGTAATTTAGGGATTGTTGCGATTTCAGCGTACAGGAGGCCAGGGGGTGGCGGCTGACAGGGTGGCAGGACGTCAAAACAGCCGAAAATAATTGCTGCCACGAAAAGTCGGGTGGCAACGCCGATTGCTCCACCGAGTTGGACAAGTAAAAAATGTCAGGCTTTGACGCCGCTAGGGACCATTGCCACCGCTTCCTCCCGCCTCCCGCGTCATCGCGGTCAACTGGCCTGAACAGGAAACAAAAACTCTGGAATGGCGTAAGCACTTCCAGCACTTGAAGCTGCTGAAAAGCACTTCAAATTGCCGTTGAAATTGCCATGGCACTTGGAATTGCTGAGCTCCGGTGAACCAAAGTGGCGTCTTTGTAACAGCCATGTAGGCGCATGGCGTGTTCATGGGACACTAAAGTGGACCGACAACGCCTGAAATTTGTCGTAGCGGCGTCCGGAAATCCGGTTCAATCACCAATCAGTGTTGCATTATTGTAACCCCCACCATGTGGCTATTCTGGCTATGCGTCAAGTTTTACAGGCTTACTCACGCACAGGCGCGCAAGCAAATAAACACACACACACATACACACACACGGGTCGTGACAATAGACCAATAAAGCACACGATGTGCTGCCACACGTCAGTGTGCTGGAGCGACTGCCGAGCTCGCCGGGCACACGCACTCGAGCCCGTCGACTCCCGGACCGCCGCAGCAGGCCTGCTCCATGTGGAAGCAGGAGACCTGCTCCATGAGCTGTGCCCGGAAGACACAGCTCCGGCGGGCACCTCCGTGTGCGCCCTCGGCAGCTCTGAAAGGCTATTGGTGGCTCCACGCGTGGTACTGGTCACCAGTTCATTTGCTGATGGAGTTCGGGGCCCATAAACAGTGCCACCACCGAGCCGGCCGTATTTATGGCGACGGCACCCTGGGCGGTTGTCGGGCGAGGGTCTGAGAGGTACCCGCTTTTCAGAGAAGGATTGAACGAATCCATTATCACGTTCCGGGGACTGCATATAATTTATCGCTGATGTCGGCCATTGCTGAGAATTTGCTGTGCCATGCGACTGGCGCTTCTCGACTGTGTTCTGTTTAAGCCCATGCGGGCACTCCTTGAGTCTAGTGTACTGGTCGCCATTGCGAACTAGGCCCAATTGCACCTATTCGATATATATATATATATATATATATATATATATATATATATGTATATGTATAGTAAATGTGTCATAAAGCTGCTGACGAGTGCAATATTGTGCCATCCTTCCGCACACCAGAAGCGAGGAACAGCTGCACAATGAATACTGATCCATTGTCGATGCCTTGATATGTCCCGCCTGAGATCAAAGGCCCAAACGGCCGCGGTCTTTTCTTCCGCGGCACTCAACGAACAAGGCACAAAGACCTTTGACGTCACGCACAAGTATCGTATCCTAATATCTCGTCCTAAACCGGGATACTTTGGCGACGGAAATGTTTGGTCCGGAAACTTTCGGAGTTTAAAGGTCGAGAGAGCCCGGCCTTCTCGGTCTTTATCACCGAGGACGAACACCCAAACAAAACCAAGCAGCGGTTCATCTTCACATTTGCAGTTTTGAAAAGTCCAGCTTGCATTACTGCTGCTAATGCTTGCGTCACGCTCAGGGGATGACATTGCAAAAGTCTTATGACAAAATTGAGCAGACACGATTATGACAGTGTAGTGGTATGCATCTGTTCAAAAGGAAATATAAAAGAAACTGACCACAGCATGCTGTGTACCTAGGACTACATAACGTCACCAGACAACGCCAGGCGAAAACGATATCACTGCTGAGCTTAGGGAAGTTGTAGAGGAGGCGGTTTGGTGTGATATATATCAAATGTTTTAGCACAAACTGAAAACAAAATGACACTTTTGGTCGTGCATAAGCAGCGTGCATATCCATTTAGACCATTCATCTAAAAGGCAAAACGGAGGTGATGTGACCGGTAGATGGTAGCGGGCGTTCGTCGGTCAAAGAGCGAGTTGATGTTTTGGTCAAATCTCGATATCAGACTAAAGGTATCTATGCGAAAGCACGTCTGGTAGACTTTGCATGCTTGTGCCAGCATTCTTCAATCCATGTGGGGTCGTGATTGACATGCGGTTATGCAACCTTCTCCACCATTCGGCCCAACGCCACGGTACAAGCGCCCCTGGTTATTAACCCGGCAAAACACGTTCACTCATTTGCTGAGCACTTCGTCAATCTAATTCATTCCAAGCTTGCCACCAGCCACCATTCCCTGCAGCCCCAAGTGCAATACATCTATGATGTCACTTCAGCTGCAGCGTTTGAGGCAGATAAGTGGTCCCAGTGTTTTATGTTTGGAGAACGGTTACATCATCACGGTTGAAATGTGCTGGGATCGCCGGGCGCCGCGACTGTGTTGGGCCTATGCAGTGCGCGGCAGTGCTGAGTACATAAGTACCTCGTCAACAGCGATGAGTGAAAACGATGACCAGGCGGCATTTCAAGCATAAGGTCTCGTTCAAGCAGCTCACGGCCATCGACAAATACGTCTCCCACTGTTCGAGATGACAAACTCACTTTGTAGCTCGAGCGCGTGCATGTTCATACAAGCGATTACACAAATCCGAATATGACCGGGGAGAAGAGGACAATTACCGAGCATTTCAGAATTAATGCTCATTTTAATTGTTCGTATTAACCACAACAAGATGCATTGTTTCGTGCCAAGAATATTATTAGGGGACGCATCTAGGCATTTCATTTTTTTTCTTCCGCAACCAAATGGGGGGTTTTAACGCTCCATTTCCAGAAGATACCACGCAATCACAACACAATGCGCCGGCACGTGCCGCGCTTCATAACGGCTGTGCGAAAAAGCGTCACGTGAACATGTTCGTGAGGCATATTCACGTGAACGTGCTGTTCTGGGGCCAGATCACCTGCTTCATCATTTTCAGGTAGGTATCGCAGTGCTCTAAGATACTCGGGTCAGGCCGGTGGCTGGTCATCCTCCCTGGGCTATATTCTCAGACCAGCACATCACCTTCAGATCTCACTGGAATTTGCTCTCTACCACCACTTGTTGGTCATGGGAAAACGGTATCGTTTATTTTGCTCGTTTGGTACCTGGTTTAGCATACACCAACTTTATTTACTCGTGTCATCTGATGTTTCCATTCACCATGTTGATGGAGCAGCGGCTGGCAATGCTCTTCCCGTGCCCTCTTCGTCCGCTTCACAGGGGGGGGGGGGGGGGCGCCGTGCAAGGCCGGAAGGGGAAGAAACCAGCCGAACCCAAGAAACTCAGGAAACGTATACGTTTCTTTGCCACACACCAGACAATAGAGGTGGAAATGTTGACAGGGCTAGCGTATTGGAAACCAGAGGTCCGGAGTTCGATTCCCCGCGGTGCCCGCCCTTCCTGCAAGGTGAAAGGCAGGCGCTACTTTAGCCTCAACAGCTGAGTGCGTCGTCAAGTCTCAACGACGACGTGGACAGGGTTAACCATCTGTCGTAGGGAGACGCACCGCTTCTTCTCCATGGATGATTCAAGAGCCGTTTTACGGTCTACACGAGCTCATCGGAGAGCGGACTGCGAGCGAGCTGCACCTGGCCTTGCAGCGAGCTGTGCCTGGCCCTACAGCGAGCTGTACCTGGCCCTACAGCGAGCTGCGCCTGGCCCCACAGCGGGCTGTGCCTGACCCTACAGCGAGCTGTGCCTGGCCCTACAGCGAGCTGTGTCTGGCCCTACAGCGAGCTGTGCCTGGCCCTACAGCGAGCTGCGCCTGGCCCCACAGCGGGCTGTACCTGGCCCCACAGCGGGCTGTGCCTGGCCCTACAGCGGGCTGTACCTGGCCCCACAGCGGGCTGTACCTGGCCCTACAGCGGGCTGTACCTGACCCCACAGCGGGCTGTACCTGGCCCCACAGCGGGCTGTACCTGACCCCACAGCGGGCTGTGCCTGGCCCCACAGCGGGCTTTACCTGACCCCACAGTGGGCTGTACCGCCGCCCTCGGTGGTGAATCGCATCGCCGGTCTGTTTAGAATCCCTGAGTAAGCCAGGTGTATTGCTCCTTAGTAAATGAAGAACTGCATCGATGCGCATGCTGCGACATCTCGAGCATTTTATCTCTTGGCCGAATAAGATTTCAGAATTGAGGTAGCATGGAGCTCCTGCCGATCTCCTCTGCACTGCTGCTGATTACGTGCTGGGGGCTCACGAGTATGTTCGCATACCGCTTTCAGGAGAATGAGATCTCCATGCTGACTGTATGAACAAACCCACTGGCTCGCTGAGAGATGTCCCGCCTTCGCATCAACTCAGCCCCTTATATGAATCAGCCCACTCCCAACGTACATCAGCTCACCCGAAATGTAGTGCATCAGCTCGTTCTCCGTGCAGACGGGCTTACCTGCAGGCTCGGCTGCCACCCACCCCGCCGACGACGCAGATCAGGTTCGGTTCGCCTCTGGCGCTGGTGGGTCACCGTCGTAGGTCGTTAACCCCCCTCGGCGACGGCAAATCAAAATATAAGATGCTTAGTTCCACTTCTAGGGCGGGTTACAGCTCAAACTGTGTCGTCGCTAGTCTTTCCCCTACCGGTAGTGCCACTCTAGTGCCCGGCCAGCAAAGCTCCGGCGTAGATAGCCCTGCCTTTCAACAGAATCCAGTCCCCGCCGCCTTCGGTCCCACCTTTTCGATGGGCAGCAGAACTGCACCCGCGCCGTTGGTCCCAGTCTTGTAATCGGGCATGTTTCCACCCTTGGCGCGGGCAGTCTAGCCTCTGCACAGCTACAGTCCCCTCCTACAGTCCCCTCCACAGCCATAGTCTCACCTCTGCAGTGGGTGATCGTCGTTGCCGACGGTCGTCGCCGCCGGCGGACGGCACCGTCGCGTGCGTCGCCGTCGGCGGGCCGCCGGCGAGTGCTGCCGTCGCCTCCGACGACCCGCGACCGACGACCGGCCGGCGACCGGGGCTCACTGACCCGCGCCGACTGCTCAGCCGGCCGCCGCCGCGCGGGTCAGCCCGTCCGGGCCCCCCGGCCGGCGGCGCGCCGCGCTCCAGCACAGCAGACGGCGGGCCGTGCGGCGGGATGCCGGCGGGCAGGGCACGGGCTGGCGGCAGGGGCGCGGCGAGCACGGCCACGGGATGGGAGAGGAGGTGGAGCAGCCAAGGGCAGGGCTGGGATGGACTTCCATCCGGCGAGCGGTAATGGTGATTGCCTTCCAAAGCGGGAGTGCATGCGTCCGTCCCTTACTACCAGCACGGTGCCCGTGGCTGTCCGTGAGCGGCCCCACTGGACGAAGGGCCTGTGGGAGCCAGTGGGGGTGTGGCAGGGATCGGTGGCTCTCAGTGGAGCTCCGACGGCGGCTGGAATGTCTGACTCTGAGCTTCCCCTTACCGGTGATGAGGTAAGGAGAAGGGAGGGGGAGGCGGGCACTTTCCAGACTGCGTCCGACCGGGCCCGCGACAGGACAGCCGATGGCATGCGCCATTTTAACTAGAAGGAATTACAAATGAGCATTAAACGTCGCCCTAGAACGCTTAGCCCGTTGAGAAGCGTGATGATCCTTTCATATGACTCTCAGCCCCCTGTTCAGCACAAAGTACGCGTGGCGGCGGGGCTCAGTCATCGGTTCGCCTCACATAGTTAGCATCAGTGGACGGTCTCGCGCCTGCGCACCTCAGCGCGAGGTCAAGTGGCAGCGTTTACATTTGCAGCCGCTAAACTAACATCTTGGGTAGCTCCGTGTGATTAAAGGGCATTGATATCGTGCAGGCCGGCTGGTGTCGTCGGCTGACGGCGGAATTGGGGGAGGGGAGGGGGCAGGATGGTTATGCTGCACTCTACCAGTGGAAAATATCAACATTAACAGCATCGACCTACACGAGAAGAGCAGAGGAAAGCTGCGTGAGACACTTCCTCTCTCAGAACTCTCAGAATACCCGCAGCCGCTGCACGCCGGTGAGCGATATTTATGAAGCTGACACAACCCATTAGCTGAACTTTTACCATGAATTCGCCGCGCCATGAATGCAAACAAACCTGCCAGAACATTGAAGATGCATGCAAGGAGTAAATGAATGTGAAGTTCGGTGCAAACAACATCATAACTGTACCCGCTAGTGACCCAGCAACTGGTATGTCAGTCACCATTGTCAGTTTTTGAACGGACCTATGTGGTATGGTTTCCATCGGAGGGTAGCCCGGGAGGATTTAGTACTGGCGCATCCAGCCCAGCACGTGATTAACCCTCACTGCCACCCACGTAGATCCACCGGATGCCCCCCCCCCCCCCTCTCGCCGTGACAGCTGTTGACAGATCAGTCATGCTTGACCCCAGGTGCAGCTGGAGCCGGCACCGGCATCCGCCAAATCTCGATGAGTCAGGGCGGAGTCCCTTGATTTCCTGGGAACTGTATGTGAGCTGGGGCCCGCGTTGAGTCCATCCATTCCCTGGAATCACTGATGAGTCGACCCGAACAGCCAGGGAAATGACAACTGTGTTTCCCAGAGGCGGGTGTCAGATGTACGGTAAATGGAAACCAGGATGTTTTGGTGTCGTGGACAGATGGATTTGTCTGCGTCGCATCACGACTAACATTTACCGCGGCCTTTGCGTCGCCCGTATAACAACTTTGGATTAAAACTGTTTTCGATTGTACGGGCTTGGTCAGCCAGTTTCAGAATCCAGTCGCATCTTTTTAACTCGGGGTTGAAGTTGATTCAAAACTAAGTTCGCCGCACTAAGTCAGAGCAGGAGGCAGACCAACGTGCCAAGTCAGAGTCGGAGCCGATTTTGCCGGAGCGGAATTAGGAATTGAATTGAATATCAGGGGCATTTCCCACTTTTCTAATTCCAATTCCTCAATTCAGTGGAATTAAACGTGAGTCTGCATCAGGATGTGGTGCTGGTTCCTCCTGAGCCTTCATACCGGTCCCGTGGTGGTGGCTTGGACCCTGACCCCGCGCCGGCAGGCAGGACGCGTTGCGAGCGCCTCTGGACCGACTCCCGCAAGCTATAGTTGTCTACCAGTCCGCCAGAGGACACCAGCTGTCCGCGCCCTCAGCTCAGCTGTCTGCGGGCAGCTCCAGCTGGTGTTCGTTCGCCCGGGGTTCCCTGCAAGCCCTGTCGTTGGTAACGAGTGCGGTTTTTTTTACTCCAGTGCTCTTCGGCCGTTTTACGACAGCTCAAAACTGGTGCTGTCATTTTGTCTCGACACCTGTCGTCTGTCTGACGCCAAGACGCCGGAACGCGCACAATGGCGAGCCGACAGGTCACGACCCTCAGCCGCGGGCCGGGGACTCCGCCGCTCCGCCGCTTCGTCCCCGGGAAGACATGCTGAGGCGGCATGCGAGCTCGTCACTGCAGTGACCCACGCGCTGAGGACGGGGTTTTGTTGTTGCGTCGCCTGTTGAGTGCCTACAGGCGTTCATGCCTGTTTATGGGACTAACTGTGAACACCGCTGCTCCCTGCTTTCAACTTACAGGCACAAAAAGACACGGAGCAGGGCTTGCGGAATAACAATCATTATTGGGCACCAGCACGCTCCCAGTCCAGAGACAAAACGCGCCCTGTGGAACTCAAAACCTGCTTCGGCTCTTACACATAGCTTAAAAAGTGATTTTTATTCAAGCATTTCAACGTGATCACGATGTTCAAACAAGACGTACGACCGCCGTCCGACTGACACCTTACAAATATGACTACATATTAACATAAACAGCCCATTGTTAACATATGGTCTTAAATACAACCACGTCGTGCGGCATATATACAATATATATTAAAGTAAATTGGAGGGACACCTGCGAGTTCATCCATGCATACGCGCAGTGGCGGGTTGTGTGCGCGCTGGTCTCTGTGTGTTACTTGTGCAAGTATGCACGTATGTCTGCGATAGATCGAAGCTGGCGAGTGTGTGGCAGCATCCAGCAGAACACTTCTTAATCGCTGTCAATTCGTTAATATGTGCACGGTCCCATTTCGTCATCGGACGTTTACAGCAGAAATCCACGCACGTTAAAATATGGCGAAGTGCATAGATGCCATCCAATTGGCATATAGGCTAAAAAATTAAGTACCCACCAAACTTCAATCTGGAAGCACTGAAGAAAAAAATCATGAGCTGCCGATAGGTGAAAACTGAGCTGTTTTTGGCTAAATTGACACTGCAACTAAAAAAATCGGTCCTTTTGCCGGATAAAATGGCCTTTGCGCACAAATTTAGCAAAAGACAGGAAATGCTCATGCACAGGCGTGCACGCACAGTTTAAAAACTCTCAGGTCTTATGCCTACACCTGCCGTAATTGTTAAACTGTTTGCCAACAAAGGAGAACAAAAGATAGTACTTTTGAACCAAAAAGCTTTCGCCATACTGTTCAAAGTCATCTCCAGATCGCCACTTTCATGACCAGAAACCAGCCGTTTACAATATAACGAAAGCCACCACAGACACTAACCAGCACTATGCACTGCGACCAAGATCGAATCGAAAGTGAGATCATCAAAGAATAAAAACGAACGCAATTTGCAAGCCGCTTCACGACAGAAACCCGATCCCTGAAGGAGTTCGTGACATCTCATTGAAGGCCGCGAGTGGAAAGCTATCACCACCAGTCTGCCACTTCACCTCGGTAGCGGCCGGCGTCGCTCGGTTCTCCAGACAACACCAGCCGTCGGGCCGCCCAGCTGGTTCGGCCGGCCGTCGATCGTCGCCTCGATCTTTGCAAAGCTCCACAACGGCCTCGCACGTCCGGAACATCGATCTGCCCATCCAGCAGTCTGCTCCTCAACCCCCCCCCCCCCCAGGCCAAACTCCACTGATCTCTGCCCAGCTCCCGTGCTGAACTGCTAACGCTCGGCTCAGCTCAGCTCGGCCCCGCTCATCTCCGCTCAGCTCAGCTCAGCTCAGCTCAGCTCAGCTCAGCTCAGCTCAGCTCAGCTCAGCTCAGCTCAGCTCAGCTCAGCTCAGCTCAGCTTAGCTTACCTCAGCGTTTGGCCACCCCGCAAACATCCCCCCCCCCCGCCGGTCCTCTGCCGGCGCCCAGCTCAACTGAGCTCCTGCGCCACCTTCCGGTCCCAGAAGGCGGCTCGTGATGCCACCAGCCGGGTGCCGCCGGGCAGAGACAGCTCGTGCTCGTCCTCGTCCTCGTTCTCGTCCTCGTGCGTGGCCGGCTCAGCGCGCTCGTCGATGGCCGGTGGCAGCGAGGCGCGGTGGGAGGCCGACAGGAGGAACGGGTCCCGGATGTTACCGGCTTGCAGCGCGAGCGGCGATCCCAGCTTCAGACCTTCGCGGAACTCACGCGACACGCTCCGCGCGGTCAGGCTGTGGACCTGGAACAGGCGGGCGGCGATGTGTCAGAGAGCGTGGACCTGGGACAGGCAGGCGGCGCTGTGTCAGAGCATGAGGACCCGGAATAGGCGGGTGGTGCGGTGTCAGGGTATGTGGACCTGGGACAGGCGGGCGGCGTTGCGTCAGAGAGTGTGGACCTGGGACAGGCAGGCGGCGCTGTGTCAGAGCATGAGGACCCGGAACAGGCGGGTGGTGCGGTGTCAGAGTATGTAGACCTGGGACAGGCGGGTGGTGCTGTGTCAGAGAGTATGGACCTGAGACAGGCGGGTGGTGCTGTGTCAGAGAGTGTGGACCTGGGACAGGCGGGTGGTGCTGTGTCAGAGAGTGTGGATCTGAAACAGGCGGGTGGTGCTGTGTCAGAGAGTATGGACCTGGGACAGGCGGGTGGTGCTGTATCAGAGAGTGTGGACCTGAGACGGGCGAGCGGAGCTGTGTCAGAGTGTGGACCTGAGACAGGCGGGTGGTGTTGTGTCAGAGAGTGTGGACCTGAGACAGGCGGGCGGCGCTGTGTCAGACTGCGTCCCCGGAGTTGAGATACAGGCGGGCTTTTGGGCACTGCACAAAGCGCGGACACGATCACAGAGCGCAGATGCGGATCATGATCAGCAGACCCTATCGGAATGGCCTTCCTTCTTTGATCTTCATGTCAAATGGCAACCATTGCGCTAAAACTGAGTTTCTTTCCACGGAAAATGCATCGAAGAATAATATACGTATTGGTCTTGTCTTATCTGGCTGTCAGTGGAACTTCAATAGGCCTTCATTAGCAAAAGGTTAGGAGCAGAGTGTGCGACATTCCCAACTACGAAATGATTCTTTTAAGTAATTTTATTGAATGTACTGCACGAATGACATTCGAATCAGATTTTTGATACATTGTTCTCTCAAATCATGTTTTGTTTAACTATGCTGAAAGGCACGCAATATAACTCAACTGCACCATCATCTCTCACCAGACTGACACGCTTGGCCCGTTTTCAACCAGCCGGACGATACTTGACGACTTTAATAAGTGCCCTTTCGTGAACTCGATTCCCCACATCCTGCACTTAGTGGTCAGAAGTCCAACGTTTTACCAAATGCGATACCGTAAGGTTCGCAACGTGCACAGCTTCCAGAACTGATGAGAATCTAAACCGACAAAACGTACGCAAACCTGAAGAAACAAATAACCTCGGTATCCAGCATGACCACTGCGCTACTGAGAACGAGTAGCATTTTAAAAATTAAATTCAAAGTGGTTTGCGCCAGCTGAAAACGTGGTTGCTAGAACGTTTCCCAAGAAATATTTCACGGACCACGAAAAAACGGCATCGTCAAATTTGACAAAACCGCCACGATGCCTTCTTGGTACACGTTCTGCAAAAAGCACTTGGACCCAGGTCAAGCCAAAGTATCACCCTATGACATCCTTTCTGAGCGCCGGCAGACCTAGAACTGAATACTCTCTGAACGCCAGCACTGTTACGAAGAAAATCATATTTACACTTCAAAAGTGTGAAATATCGCGCACACATTATAGAGATGAAGATGAATTTGAAATAACGCTAGAGGTCTGATGTGAAACCTACCAGATGAGGTGGCAGCAGAAATGTCGACAGAAACACTGCGGGTTTCGAGGGATCTCACAATAAGGCAGGATGTCTTAAGTTCGCAAGGATAGTCAAATTGGGATGCAACTTGAACTAGACAATACACCGCACATTATATATATATATATATATATATATATATATATATATATATATGGCTGACGTTCTTGAATTGGCAAGGTGTCACACACTCTTATCACATGCACGCAACGATACATGTTTCATAATAACATAAACACAACTGAGTGTACAAGCAATCTTCACGCTTTTGACTTTTTGGCAATATCGCATGACTTTTAACTTCTATCCCCGCGCAATGAGGGGATCGCAACAAAATATGAACGGTGAGAAACGCGCAAAACACGGATCAAACTTCTGCGGTAAGCCTTCGGTGGTTGCTCACGACGCAACGCGCCCAAGCAGGAGTCACAGGGGGCAGCACCCTAAAGAAGCCATCTCAGGCAAGCGGAGATGCGTAGCAGTCTCACATGGGTAGCATGGACGTGACCCCATCATGTGACCACCAAGCAGCGACCTGCTAGCGCCTGGCGGTGACACGCTCCAGCGGTGTGCGCGGGCCGGCTCAGTGGTGCCCTCTCTCACCGGACCGCGGTGCCAAGGACCAACAGCACGTGGCTGAAGTGCTCAGCCGGCATGGGCTCTCAAGTGAGGGTAAAACCCATTTCAGAACATTGGCCTCGCGTGTTTCACAGTGACGGCAGTGACCACAATGAGCCTCGGTGCCGCAAAACCGACATCTGGCTCAGAGATGCACCGCGACGTGGTGCGATGCGACTACAGCGGTGGAAGCCATGTGCAGCGTGCGGACGTCCACCAGACACACAGAAGGGAACACGATCGCTCGAGGCGGCTCCCGGCGAGCCCTGGACGCGGCCCCAGCGTGCGAAGTGACCAGCCTCTCCGGTGTATGTACACTGCAAGCGTGCCGTCCAACGTAAATACCTCGTAAGGGGTTTGTCAAGACACACCCGGAAGCTGTCCATTGCGACCACAGGAGCCACGCCGAAACTAGGAAAAGAAAGTAACAACTAAGTACACAATGTATGCAACGGTATGTTACGTCACAGCACATTTACATGCGTTCGATGTCATGCAACCCAATCGGTTGAGAGCATGAATGGCGGCAGGGTCAGCTCAGCTTCACACTATTTGTGCGAAGGACTCCAGGGTCGACGAAGCGGCGTCGAACTTGAGAACTCGCATGTAGCTCAGCATTAGCCAGCTCATTGAAGCGCAGCGGGAGCACATGTACACAGATTAATGACAGGAAACAGGGAAACACTGCACGAAACCAGTGATCGTAACCACTCACTGGAACCTCTATCACCCGGCGTGTCACGCGAGCATCACGGGTGAGGGGCGACGATGCAAGCTGATGTCGCAAAACTGTCGGCGCTGGAGCCCGTCAACGGCCAAATGTTGAAACTACGGTAATTTCAATGGCAACGGCTGGTGTACGTGCTGTCACACCTGCAATATTGCATTGTCTGCCCACAGCAGAAGCGCACGACCCTCTGCGGTTTGGACAAAGCCAAGTGTACTCTGCACAGTGCCAAGCAAGGTAAGTGGACCTCCGGACGAATGGATGGCGCATGCAGAAGCTGCCTCGCCCCAAGGCTGCTGATGACCTGCGACAGCAACGTGCAGAGTTGGCGAGCAGCACGGCAGTCGTGGGGACCTGCCAGCGAAGTTCCTGCACAACGTCCCAACAAATCGTGCTTGTGTTTATGCTCTGCTGTTTAGCTTTGTGCTTGGTGTGCTTTAGTTTCTTTATTCTGTAGCTCGGTTGCGTCTAAACATTATGTTACCGTCCTCATTATTCACACAGCTGCACAGGCACAAAAGTTAGAAGTCAGGGTTGCCAAAAGTAGTCAAAATAATTACTCTGAATAACCAATGTAACAGAGTCTTAAATTATCATGCAAGGGACGGTTCCTTGTGATAAGTAGTAGATCCGGATACAACTTCGTTTGCTTCGGATCGCCAACTACCACATTTTACTAAAAAAAACCCGATACATTGAAATGCAATATAAATTTTCCTCCCAACTAAGAATCATGGCTGCAACATGAAGTAACAGCGCTTCAAGACAGCTGCTCCCATTCCTCCACGTGCGATGTAAAACCGGGCCCTGCTTCCTTCGTGCCCCACTCATCCGACACTTATCCTCTCAGCACGCGCCCATCCGCGATAACAAATCACCCCATCCACCCTGCGGCCCACCACCTTCCGACCGCACTCGGGAGCGGCGGCGGCGGCGGCGGCGCCGACGTGAGCGGGCGCTGCCAGGCGGCCGCGCGGAGCGACAGAGACGGCCGGCTGGCCGGCCGGCACACCGGCGGGTCTTTGCTCGTCTCGGTCCGCCGCGCCGCCGGAACCCTTCCGCATAGCTGGCCGGCCGGCCGACCCGCTCCCGTTCCTGGCGCCGGCCGGCCGCGCCGTCCATCAGACGCCGCCGCCGCCGCCTCCGTCGTCGGCGCTTTCATCATGACCAGGCCGCTTGTTTGGGTCGGGACGCACTGACGTGAATGAGTGTGTACACGTGCTGTCATCGCTGATGGACAGCTGCGGTGGAACGTTTAATCGTCGGCTATGGCTTTGGACCAGGAAAAGTACACTGTGACACCGACAGGGCTTGTTTTAAATCGCCTCAATTGCAGCCTTCGTTTAGGAACAGCATGACTCTTAGGCAAACATGTACGGTGTTGGTCGGCGTGAGACTTCTGGACCAGCTATTAGCCTCGTGGGAAGCTGTTGGACCATGAAGATTTTCTCAGCGTGGAGCTGGATCACTGACACGGAGGTGTACATCATGCACTTAAGGAAGGCATTGAGCGAAAATTCATAGATGCGTGGCCATATTCACGTTGGCTGCCGGTGCCCCACTTCTTACGCGCTTAAAATGAAAAGACGCAAACTGTAACTGCAATCGAGAAACGATGAGAAAGCACCCACTTACCCTGGCCGGCCCCGTGTACGTGTACCAAAACGTAACTGGCCAATTACGTGCATGCCACCCGCTGCCCTTGACATGAAATTCGAGTTTTGGAGTCTGACCTGTCCACATCCATTTTCTCAGGTAAAGGACCCTCACATGACATTACCGCCATGCAAACACCTGAGACCATTCATCGTCAGATGGCTTAAAAGTCACCTCCTATACGCACTCCTGCTTAACTGCCACATTTTCCGCGCTTTACATGTCCTTTTCGACATCCAGACTTTCCCTCTGGATGTCGATAAGGGCGCGTTTTGCAGCTCCGATTCGTCCACCGGATTCGACCGGTAACGTTCGGAAAAATAGTGCTTCAGCTGAGACGTCATCCGATGTACATCTCCACTGACTATTAAAAAAAACATGAAACCGTTGAAGGCTTATGCCGAGCATAAGGCATGTGTGGTGGTCTTGCGAACGCTTGGCGGATGACTTCTCTGCCCTGGGGTACGTCCCGAGTCGACACGAATGCGCCAGCGCTCGGTGATGTCCACCACGTCACGCGTGGTGCCTCTCGTCCCAGAGGCACCGCGCCGCGGAAGCTAACACTGAATTTTGCCAGAAGTAAGTATTTCGGGGTTTATCAATGGAAGCCCACCTGCCCAGGCAGTGCGGCATGCCACAGACCCAGCGGACCTTCCGCCTGCATAGCAGCCGCCAACAGCACACCACCTGTCCAGCGTGGCGAGCGTCTGGCACTGTCGCCGACCATGGGAAAAGCGTATTTGTCGCGAAGCTGGGATGCGGCTCCCGATTGTAGGCCGAGTCCTGCGTCACCCTCAGAAAGCCGGGAGACGATCGTAGCACCGTTCCCGGGGGCAGTGCTATGGTGTGTCTGCGACACTGGAAATGACGAACGGGCCAACATTCCACAAAAAAATGAGTCAGAAGTTTGTTGGGAGTGGGTCAAACGTGGCTTGCGTTGATGTCCAGGGGTTCAGGTCAAATCTATCACACTCGAAGTGACTCGGGAGACGCCCTAATCTTCCCAGCGTTTGCAAAACCATCACGCAAAGCAATCATGCAAAGCCCTACACTTAGCATGAGCCATCACTAACGTCACGCCTTGTTGGCCGATAGGGACATATCTAAAAACATCTATGATCAAAAATACTTCTGCAAAGGTAAATGATTAACTCCGCCTCGCAGATCGGAGTCACGAAAACACGAAATGAGGGTCGGTCTGGATGCTGAAGCAAACTTGTCACTCAGGTGTGTAACGGTTAGGCAGTTTGGTGTATATGGAGTCGAGCTTTTCAGCCATACGACTCATTAATGAATTACCACCCTAGGTGTTTGTACGCCTTTCATTTCATCAGGGAGCCACGTTCCTAGCAGAATCGGTGCGTGGGAGATCAGAATGCATAAAGATTCAATTACCAAACTTAAGTGGTGGCCACCGGATGGCTTGACGGCAGTTAAGTGCCTTTGTTGATTCTTTACGTCACGAGGGTTTTACAACACGTGACCTTATACCATCTGTTTTCCCCATCCTAATGGTTTCCACCTTTTCCTGTCACGTACCACCCAGCTGTCAAAAGCACGGGTATGCGGAAGGCGTACGGGGTACGAGTTGCCCTGAGCTCAGAGTCCTAACCGCGCTTGCGCACCTCCGTGACAGATATGCCCTGGGTAACACCGCGACGGGGGGGTCAGCCGCTGCCCCCAGGGTGTGGGCGGGTGGCTACAGCCCATCGAGGCGTGAGGTCAGTCGCCACCCCCAGGCTGTGGGCGGGTGGCTACAGCCCATCGAGACGTGAGGTCAGTCGCCACCCCCAGGCTGCGGGCGGGTGGCTACAGCCCATCGAGACGAGAGGTCAGTCGCTGCCCCCAGACCGTGGGCGGGTGGCTACAGCCCATCAAGGCCAGATGTCAGCCGCTGCCCCCAGGCCGTGGGCGGATGACTACAGCCCATCGAGGCCAGAGGTCAGCCGCTACCCCCAGGCCGTGGGGGGGGGGAGGGCAGATACAGCCCATCGAGACGAGAGGTCAGCCGCTACGCCCAGGCCGTGGGCGGGTGGCTACAGCCCAACGAGACAAGAGGTCAGCCGCTGCCCCCAAGCCGTGGGCGGGCAGATACAGCCTATCGAGACGAGAGGTCTGCTGCTACAACCCAGGCCGTGGGCGGGCGGCTACAGTCCACCGACCTGTACCGCCGCGCGGCCGGCGCATCCACCCGTCCCGTCACAGCTACCTCCATCGTCGACAGCATGCCAGGAAGATAAGCAAATACAATTGCATTGTCCGTTTTCAAACCCAAACTTCTTAGTTGATTCCTCCATCGCACCACGTTTATGTCCATTACTAAATTTGCCTAGCTTCACATGAATCCGGTGATTTACCAATGCATCCGGCATCAAAGTGCAGATATGTGCTGATATTGTCACAGACATCCTATTACTTCAAGTTTGAACTCTGGACGTTCTCTGTTTTAGCTGCTGCTCGGGAATAGCAGCACATTAAAAGTGAGCAATGGGACTGACGTCATTGTCCCCATGCATGCAGCCCGTTGAGTCAGTTATCCTCCGCTATCTTCCGGATCTGTTGAACTAGGAAGCTCCACCGTCCACCGCACACCGGGGCGCAGCGACTTCCACTCGCGGTAACACCCACGCCGCCGCGCTGTTTTGAAAGGTCCGCAGCCGCAGCGCTCCATGAAAGCATGTGGTTCGTGATCATTACTGTGCGGCACATGTCAGTGACGTCACTTTCACTTCGCTGCTGAATTGGCGCGACAGAACCAGCCTAATCACCTCACGAACTCACGCTCCGCCACAACACGGACTGGAATTCGCACCGCTGGTGGCTTCATAACCCGATTTCTTTTGGAAAAGCGTGGAGTAGAGGCAAGCGTACCAAGCCTTTGTGCTGTGTGCCTGCATGCCATGAACAGTGGCGTAAAAACCAGGAATGAGAACCGCACATCCGTTTCAACCGTCCCCGTAGTGTGCTGGATGCATCCAGTACCTACACGTGAAGCAGTGCTCACCGAACCGATAATCAGCGAGGCAGCAAAGCACTGAACGTCAATGGGTTCCATCAAAATATCCAAACACGTCTTTTCAACAACAAAAAAAAAAACGAGAAGAAAAAGCTCTCGCTTCACACCAGCCACACAACATCCCTTCCAAAAGTGTGGCGAGCCAGCCTACCTAAAGCAGCTCGAAACCTCTCCAGTGGTAGCGGTTTGGTACTAACTAACCACGTGATAACACCGCGGACAGGCACCGGCCCCGTGCATGAACGACACGTTGGGGGGGGGGGGGAGGGGGAGGGCACTGACCTTGTGGCTGGAGGTCTTCTTCCTCAGCTTCTCGATCTTCCGCAGCTCGCGAGGCTCGTCCCAGTTCTCCGGGTCCGACTTCTCGATGATGAGCACGCTGGAGTTGCACAGCGGCGAGTCCTGCCAGGCCCAGCAGCGCGTCAGTCGGAGGCAGCGTCGCGTCTTTCCACACAAACGTCACGGTTTGATCGGCGCCGGGCGGTGCGCGCATTGTTCGCCACCAGACCGGGCCGGAGGTTCGCAGGCTTTTCTCTCGTCGGATCCCAGGCCGGATTCAGCGGTTCACAGCCGACCGCGACGCCCAGACGGCATTGTTCCACGAATCAGTCCGTCGGCCAGCGCATGAATGGGGCATGAAATGATGGCGTTCCGGTCGAATGGACTGCCGGGGCGGACCGGTTCGCAGCTCATTAAAACAAACGGGGGCACAGAAGAAACTAGTAGCAGCCTTTTAACATGTCTTGATGGATGCATGACACGGACGACACGAGGCTGATTAAATCACACCTGCCGCTACCGTGCGTAGCAGTAGCAAAATGTGCTACATTCACTTCCGGGATGTTTGGCCGCCATAAACAAAACAATGGAACAACCATTAAACCTCGTGGTACGATGAGAACAGGATGAAATGATGTCACGATCTACGCGTACGGTGAGAAAATGACGAAATCATGTCACGATCTGTACGCGTATCACTCTCTTTCTCTTTATGTTAAATCCAAGCAAAAAGATTTATCAAGACCACGAAATCAACAGTTAAACGACCCTTACCTACAGCTAGTCCCAAAACACGTTATTGAATAATATTGGACTTGTGGACATTTACATTACATTGGACAATACTATTGGACAGTATTCAGTATGAATACTGAATACTGAATACTAATAAAATTAAGTTGCGGACCAGCCGACAAAAGCAACAACAGACAAGGCATCCCAATCATTTCCAAGCGCTCCGTGTCATGATTCCAAGACTCTAACAAACTGAAGACCGACGCGGTACGCCAGGTTAGGCTGGATAAAAGGAGCACGCACGTTTAGCATAGCAAAGGTCAGCGTACATCTGACCACGCACCCGCCGGGGGCGGGGCGGCGCACGTACCTGCTTCCGCGGCGCGACCGGCGCGCCGTCGGCCGCCTGGAAGTGGCTGCGCAGCTGTTTAACTGAAGGCAGCGTGGGCGGCAGGTCGGAGCCGTTCGAGCCCAGACTCTCACGTCCGTCAGGACTGGGCCGCTGCTCCAGCTCGGCCGCCGGCTCCTCCACCTCCACCCACAGCGGCGCCGGGCCGGTCGCCGGCTCCGGGGCGGGCGAGGCGGTGCCGGAGCCGGCGCGTACCCCAGAGCCGGCGTCCGTCACATCGGCCGTCGGCGTCAGCGTCGGCGTCGGCGTCGGCGCCGACGCTGGCGTCGACGGCGCCGCCGACATCGGCGAGGCCGCCGGCGGGGCGGTGGCGCGGGAGCGGCGCCCGGCCGCCAGCGCCGCCGGCTGCAGCTCCTCCGCCGACCGGCTCAGCTGCTGCATTCTCTCGATGGCCGAACGGACCGTGCCCTCAGGCGGCAGCTCGGCGTCGCCGGAGGCGGCCGAGCCGGGCGAGTCGCGCCGCTCGGTCGGCGGCTCGCAGCGCTCCGGCGCCGGCGCCGACAGCGACTCGCTGGACTGGTAGACGGAGCCGACGCCGGCCGAGCGCAGGTCGTCGCTGGAGGCGCGCCCGGAGAGCGGCGGCAGCGGCTCCTCGGACAGCGCGCTCACCGGCCGCGAAGCACCCTGCGAGTCACCGTCCTCTACGTTAGCGGGGCTGGTCATGGCCGGGGAGCGCGCGCGCTGGCCGCCTGTGTCGCACTGCAGTCGCCGGCGCCGCGAGACGAGAGAGTGGCGCCGCCGCCGCCGCCGCCGCCGTCACTACCGCAGGCCAACTGCCCGGCCGGCGAATTTGATGCCCGATCGGGTTTTTCTTCACGACCAAGAAGTGACCGAAACGGGGCGCTCAGTGCAGCGGCGCCTGCGCCGGTGCCGTTAGACGGCGTGGACGGCCTGAGAGCCGAGCGGCGGCGACGGGAGGACGGCCCGCACTGAATGCCGGCCGGCTCGAATAATGGAGGCTTAGCACGGCGCGTTTGACACTCGGGAGACGCCATAACGGAGAATCAATGAAGCGTCGCGTACATCTGGTGCGGTCGACAGTGCGGACCATCCGGCGGTCGCACGAGCCGCGTCTCATCTCGCGCGCCGCGCTCTCCCACGCTCTCGCCGTCCCTGTCCTGGTTCGTCCAACCGCCACACCTGGACGTCTGGTGTCCTCGTCTCTAAGCCTTGTCATGTGTCTGTGTTCGCAACAAGGCTCGCTGTCGGCCAGTTAGGTTGTATGCTCCATTACTTCAAATTAAAGACGGTTGCGAGCAATATGTGAAGCGTATACAAAGCGATACTGTGCGATAGTGGGTTGGCGTTCCAACCGGTGAGAACTTGAATGGCATGCAACATATTTTAGAATATTGTTTTCTCTAAAATGTTCAGAATAAACAAAACCTTGATCCGAATACGGCCTAAATCTGCATTTCGTCTCTGTCTTCGTCTTGGCCTCAGTCTACGGTCTAAGTCGTCTACAATCTAAGGTATACAGTCCACGGAGCAGAGTCAAATGGTTGTTGAGGATTTCAACCCGCACATTTCGCAGGGTCCCATTGGGATCCCACCAGTCTCCTCACATGCGTGGACACATGCCAAGCACCAAAACAGCGATCGCCGTGCTAAAGAAATATAACACCAGAAATGCAAATACAAGACAAAATATTATGCGAAAACACTTCTTCCAAAATAGCACATGCCAAATGAAACAGAGCAGGAATAACTTAACGGTAAGCAACACACCCCAATCAAATTGGTTGCTCGTCAACTCTAAAAAGATGACGGTTTCGCTGATTCAGAAAGCGTCCGACGTTAGTAACCAGACAACAATGGTCTTAAAAAGCGAATGGTTTCCAAAGGATTGAGACGAGTATAGTATAACGGATGATATAACTATTCAAACTATCCTCTTCGTTGGGTGAGTTAGTTTGCGCACAACGTCTCGACCACTCAAATCTCAGGCCGTCGTCAGGTGATATGACATCCTGAGAAGGACTGGATGATGTTTGCGTTTTAACCTGCGTGCATACGCCGCCATCCGACTTATCTTGCTGTAATTGCTGGGATTAGAACCGAAGGCCCCGGTTCGAATCCCAGGAATGCCAAGGGGAAAATTCGGGTTGCGACGCGTACCGTCGCGCGTGGAAAGTCGAACAACGTCCAGGCTTCTTTAGGACTCACCTGACGACGGCCTGACAGTTAACTGGCTGAAACGTTGCGCATATACTAACACACCGGACGAGGACAAAAGTCTGAGCAATTATTCTATCGGTGAAATTGCATGGTTTTACGCCGTTTGTTTCCCGCAAAAAACGCCAAAAAAAAACGCCCAAATCTGTCAACGTGCAACTTCATCCATTTCAATTCCCCACGTACATCAGACACCCCAAAACTGCTTCAGAACACTTACGGGAGGGCGGGTCGCGAAGGGCCGCTGGTGAGGAGACAGGGGCCGCAATATTTGCCTCACATTGCTCATTCGAGATTGTTGCTGTCAGTGTTGGTCTTGAACCGTTTGTTCTTGCCTCTACAAGGCCTCATGTTTCTATGCATGCTTTCTGTCTCCTTTATGCCATCGCGTGTTTGGATACATGTTGCCACCTGTTTTTACGGTTTCACCCGTTTGGATAGCTAACGTGTTCCACGGGACACTTCGGAAACATGACGACAGCTGTTCAACAGAATGATAAGCTAATGGGAAAGTGACGTTTGACAACGACAAAATATGATACGGAGCCTTCACAAACAGTCGTTACACACGTCGTAACCGCAAAAAAAGAGTCCATCTGCTGGTATTTTGCTGTCACATCACGTGACTTATCACCAGCGGTCACCATAATGCTACAAAGGCAGTTAGCTGGCATTGTGCTGGTAAATACGTACGCTGGCCCACTCGTGGACATTTAAATAGCATGCTATTTATGCATATATCTGGGTATTAAGTATTGTGAAAATGTAAATCTAGCTTTGCGAACTGTTCCCATTTTATGCGTCAAAGTATTGCGTATTCAGGAAGAAGGAATTTATGCGCGTCTTTGATATTGTTCCATCGACCGAGTTATAAATCTCAGAAATGTTCGTGTCAACGTTAATGCTTTTGTAATACAAGAAAAAGGGCCTATGGTCAGCTAAAACCACGCAACACAGTACGAAGGGCTATGATGTTATGACGGAGCGGAGCCGTCGCGTCGCGTCTCAATTCTAAATCCCAAGACCCAACAAGCATTTACCGTTTCTCGGCTTTCAATGTCGAGGGCGATGTGCTATCGTTGGACTTTAAGTCAGTTTGAAAATATCGAACGGGTGATTTTAATCAAAAGAACCCACGCCCGCTATCGGTCTGATTTTTAGCGCTCTGCCAACAGCGTTTTGGCCCGCACGTCTCAGCACCGGCATACAGTCGGTAGACTGACCCCGCGTGAGCACGCGTCAGAGGAGCATCTGCCGCACCTTTGCCATGATACGTCACATCGTCCCAGCTGGCCGGATCGGGGGGGATGGAACCACCTGGCGGGACGGGTCCCTGGCGACCATAACTGGATCCGCAGCGACGGAGAAGGGATCACCTAACTCGGCCGGGGAGGTCCACGATCACACATATTCCACCTCACTTGTGCTTGTAACTTGGACGGGGTTGCATGGTCAGTTCGGATGGCCTCAGTTCCCTACACAGGAAAAGGGACGAGATAGGAAGATGGATCTCAGAAGCTCCCCCGGCACGCGTTTGGTCTGCTCAACACGATCACATGGGGCCTAGCTGATTACCGTAAGAACTGCAGCTGACCAGGGGCGGGCGCGTCTCATGTGGTGCGAGTCCTCTGGCCGCTGGTGGCCGCCGTCCCATGAGCTGGGAGCCCGAGCCTGGCCATCCCATGAGCTGGGAGCCGGAGCGCGCCATCCCCGCCCGGCCGTCTTGTGAGCTGGGAGCCCGAGCGCGCCATCCTAGCCATCCCATGAGCTGGGAGCCGGAGCGCGCCATCCTAGCCATTCCATGAGCTGGGAGCCCGAGTGCCCCATCCTGGCCATCCCGTGAGCTGGGAGCCGGAGCGCACCATCCCCGGCCGTCCCGCGAGCTGGGGGCCGGAGCGTGCCATCCTGGCCGTCCCATGAGCTGGGAGCCCGGGCGCGCCGTCCTGGCCGTCCCATGAGCTGGGAGCCCGGGCGCGCCGTCCTGGCCGTCCCATGAGCTGGGACACCGAGCGCGCCATCCCGGTCGTCCCATGAGCTGGGAGCCCGGGAGCGCCGTCCCCGGCCGTCCCGCTACGCCGCTCGGCGAGGCGGCCCGGTCACCGCGGCGCTGACTGGCTAATCGGGCCGTCCGTCCGTCACGGGTCACTGGCGCGGCCGGCGGACGCCGACCGCCGGACCGTCACACCGGACCGTCACGCGGCGCGCCGCACGGCTGCCGCCGTCGTGACAGTCGCCGGCTGACACCACCGCTGGAGCCGGCGGCGCGGACCGGGGACCGGCGCCGGCCGTCACACCCCGCAGCTGCCCCCCCCCCCCTCCCCTCTTCCTCCCTCCCCGAACGTGCGGCCGACAGAGCACGGTGCAGGGTGCAGTTGGCCTTTGCAAACGCCGTCTTCCGACCGCGCAGGTCGAGTCTAGCGTCCATTATGCTGAAGCCCATCCCCCTGCCGTTACGGGGCTGGCTGGTCCATTTCGCGGTGCCCAGAGTGTCGTGTCAGCGCTGGCAGCTGGCTAGGCGGCAGCTGCCGACGCGGCGAAACGAATGAGGTAGCAGTGAGTCACGCTGCGGAAATCACCTAGTCCGTGCACCTGGCGTATTAGAGGGCCTTTTGTTTCAATCTACTGCTGTTTTTAAATCGACTCGAAAACTCTTGAGCCTACGCCAAATGTTACAATTATCTGCCCAAAGGTCGAGCCTACCACTTGCAACCGATGCCGCGAATACGACCTGCAAAGCACCCTGGATCATTAGCTTTCATATAACACTTATTCCAGTCAAAACCGAATTATCGTGTCTGATCATGCAAACAGTTACACCCATACCCCAGTCATGCGAAATAAGTCCAGCTACCATCCTTAAAAGAGCATCAATATTCCTGCAATTCCAAAGCAGCATCACAAAGTAACCAAAACAAGACAGCAATAATTCCGCTACCTCACTTGACCTGTTTGCCCGCCCCAACAGGGCGTCAGCTGGCGCATCCGCGGACTGATCCGCTTCGTAATGGCGCGAGCTGCGAGCGCGCGGCGCCCGCGGTTCGAGAGCTGTCGTGCTCACGGGCAGTGTGCCCGCACAAACGGGAACGCGCCGCTGACAGCCGGCCGCCATCTTGGCCGCCGGGAAAGCCGGCTGCAGCTGGCGCAGCACGTGGACGCTTTGACCCAGTGGCAAAACCGGCGGCGTCACACCCGCGGCCGGACTCGGCGGCGAGACAGCGCGGGGCGCCGGCACAAGTGGCGCAGGGAGTCGGCGGTGGAGATCGATCACTGCGACGAACGGGACGTGACGCTCAGGTGCCAAAAACGGCAGCCGCGCACCAATCAGCTGCTGAGGCTTTGACCCCTGGCGAACATAAGCGCTTGACTGGACGTGTATATATATATATATATATATATATATATATATATATATATATATATATATATATAAACATATATATGCATGTATGTGTATACATGCATATATATACACCTATGTATATATACATACAATATATATGTGTATGTATATATATATATATATATATATATATATATATATATATATATATATATATATTATCTATAGACGGGCGACAGTTACCGCTTGGATATGCCCCGATTCTCCGCGGCTACAAACGAGTTTACTCGCATTTAAGCATTCGAATGGTTTAAGTTAATTATTATCATGGCTTGCGAAGATTTGACTGTAAATTGCAAGAAAAAAACAAAAGAAGCTTCACGAGACAAAGCGAAACATGTAAGCCTACAAGCTGGCCGTCTACAGACGCAAGACACCGTACCTGGGCTGAAGGCATCCAAGCGTGCCGGATCATCTCCTTAATATGAGCGCAGGTGGCGTGTCACTTCTCTAATCTGGGGAGAATGCGTGTGTCGCGCTACGCGATACGTGCGCGTAATGCTCAAGTCCCACAGGAACCGCACCTAAACTTATGCCATACTACTCCCTGACGCACCTGGATTCCCCCGTTCCCCAGGAAGAGAGAGCAGAAACGGGATCAAGAGAGCGATGCATCATGCCTGAACCGTGACGAACACCAGGTGCAATCGTGCTGAAGTCGTAACAACAGCACTCGTCCATGAACCCGCCGCGATTCGTTCTGGGTGGGCGGCGCGACCGTGATCGGTTCTGGACGAACAGACGGGAAAGGGTCGGCCAGCCCGCAAACGCTAAATCAATGTGCCACAAACACCGATCGGCGGTGCCGGCCACACGTGGCCCCTCCCCCTCCGAGCGGTCCGGCGCGGTGGACCCCGACGTGAGAGGCAGAACTCTGTCTCTGCTGACGACTGTCGCCCCTACCCCTCCCCCTCCGAGCGGTCCGGTGCAGTGGACCCCGACGTGAGAGGCAGAGCTCTGTCTCTGCTGATGACTGTCGCTCCTACCCCTCCCCCTCCGAGCGGTCCGGTGCGGTGGACCCCGACGTGAGAGGCAGAGCTCTGTCTCTGCCGATGACGGCCGCCCCTACCCCTCCCCTCCCCTCCCCTCCGAGCAGTCCGGCGCGGTGGACCCCGATGTGGGAGGCCGAGCTCTGTCTCTGCTGACGACTGCCGCCCCTACCCCTCCCCCTCCGGGCAGTCCGGCGCGGTGGACCCCGACGTGAGAGGCAGAGCTCTGTCTCTCTCGATGACGGCCGCCCCTACCCCTCCCCTCCGAGGGGTCCGGCGCGGTGGACCCCGACGTGAGAGGCAGAGCTCTGTCTCTGCCGATGACAGCCGACACATATTCTTTAACCAGTCAATAAAGTGGTGAATGTACCGCCACATTTAAAAGTGTTAGTGCAGTGGCAAGAATCCAGCGCTTAAAATCGCTGTTGCATTTGAAGGAACGTGCTTCCCTGCAGACTTCCAACTGAAACCGCGAGGACTGTGATGAGCCTGCGTACACCTCACCTAGTTCAGAATACTTTGTTGAAGAGACGCACACAATCAAAGTACCGCTCACGCAAGCCAAAGCAATTACCAAAGTAAAGCACGCACAATCGAAGTACTATGCCGTGATATCACGCTGCCTTAGTGAGGCCTCAAATACACAACGGTGCAGCAGGTACCGGAAAGTGCTTCAGCAACGTCTGCCAAATCGGAGAGGAGATAGCACTTGCACGGGGGAAACGTTTTAGGGACAGATCGCATAGATAACACAAGCGGAGTCGAGTATAGGCAAGGAAAGCGTACAGGAACATTTAATCCAGCTCAGCTAGCACACCAGACATCATATTCTGGCCACGTCACTTTTCAATGAAGGCAAGGGAGAAAATGTGTCATGCGTCATTATTCGATTATATTGCTGACACATACCTCCCCTGCGCTCCCGCCTGATTAACACACAAATAAGCCTAACAGCAAAAGTGGCCGTGCCAGAATCCCAGCGGGGTCGGAATAGCACCGAACACCGTAAAACAGGCCTAACCAAGTGACCCAGGGAGAGAGCGCGCACCACACAAGCAGTCTTCACGGAGTATTCGCCGCACGGCCGACGGAGTGACAGAAATGCCAATCACTGGACTTTCGCAGGGGTTACACGGCAACCAGCCGCCGAAATAGAACAGACGGAGCGAGAGTGCAGAGGGAATCCCTACATCTGGCCCGACAACGCGCTACAAGACGCATTAGCTCCTCGGGGGAAATTCCCCGTAGTGAAAGGAGCATTCGTCGCCTCAGTCTCCACAGCACATCACAAAAACGACAGCCTTGAATGAGCTCGGGTCATGCGAGTGTCTCCAAGCTACCTCCAAAAGATCCCCTGGAGCGAAGAGCATCCTTCAGCAAACCCCCTCTGAACCCGCGACCTCTCCTCAGAGGCTCCAGGACCATCTCCGTCACCGCGCAGTGGCGGGCTTCGTCCCGGTGCGTCTCTGCACCTCGAGTGCGTTCGGCGCTCAACAGATGGCAGAAGAGTTCGTCGGGCTCGGGCTCGTACAGGGGATTGCTGCAGAACTGCGGCGAGGCGCACAGGCTGCGGAACGGCCGTCGCCGACAGAGCTGCGCCTCGACCGCCGACAGGTGGCGCTGCAGGGGGGCGGCCAGGCGCCTTACCTGGCGGCGCGCCGGCGGCAGGCTGGCCGACCTGCCGTCTGCGCCGGCGTTGATGTAGTAGTCGCGTCGGTACCTGTCCAGAAGCCACAACCGGTTCATCGTGACGCCCACGCAGCGCGCGCACACGCTCAACACGTGCTAGCTGGGCACACTAAGGGAATACTGGGCAACGCGGCGACATCCAGGTTTCGTTCGTTACCGCATGCCTGTCCTTGCAGTGGAAGTGCTGTGTGACAATCAGAAGTCGTGCACAAAGCAAAACAATGCACATTGCAAACACACTGTCTGCAAAAGATAAAGACCATGTAGCGAGGCGGCGCGCGTATTTCGCGAGCCAAGCATGCAAATAACAAATTTCACAGCTTGACATAATGGACTTCTAACACGCGATAAGGCGACTCTCCTAAATGTGACGGCCCTGTAACGTGTTGCCACGTGCCTCAGATGTCGGAAGTGTTAGATGTCGGAAGTGTTAGATGTCGGAAGTGTTAGATGTCAGATGTCGGATGTCAGGTGTTAGATGTTAGATGTCAGATGTCGGAAGTGTTACATGCCACCTGGGATATAGACAAAATAATGCCTTCCCCGGTAGAAGTGGTAGGATGTTTCGTAGCGCCTATGCAATGAACAGGGCTAATATGATAGTGAGTGACATTTTCAGAGCCATCTACACGCTAGCAAGACCTGCCACTGAGCATTATGTTCAGCTCTTTTCCACAGAATACGACTTGATGTACACACAAATTGGAGCCATTGGGGTCACGAAACAGTATGGCAAGCGGTCAACAGTTCCAACCAACGTGCTGAGGGGAGGCTTTAACGACGCTTACATTTCCGAGTCGATGGACTTCAGACCACAGTCAATTTTTCTGCCCGTGTTCGGTGCGACCAGGTCGTGGTCCGAGCCGTCGTCACCAGAACTGAAACGGAAATGGGGACGGCTGTAAGTGGTATACACCTTTATGACGACACGCGTTGCAGTTCGTGTCGTGACTTTAACTCGATAACTCCGACCGGTTGAACTAAAGCCGCTTCACCGTTCTTCGACGAACAAGGATTCCAGCAGAAGCCTCCGCGACTCACGCGTACAACTGACGATCCACTAGGTTATGTAATAAGGCCACCCGAGCGGTGGTAGCGGCGATAGCGGCGAAAGCCAGTTGTTGGTAACCGCACGTACGGTCGTTTAGCCTGGGGAGTGTTGTGTACCCACCTGACCAGCTGGAAGTGGCCCACCCCGGGGAGTGCTGTGTACCCATCTGACCAGCTGGGAGTGGTCCACCCCCGGGGAGTGCCGTGTACCCACCTGACCAGCTGGGAGTGGTCCACCCCCGGGGAGTGCTGTGTACCCATCTGACCAGCTGGAAGTGGTCCACCCCCGGGGAGTGCTGTGTACCCACCTGACCAGCTGGGAGCGGTCCACCCCCGGGGAGTGCTGTGTACCCATCTGACCAGCTGGGTGTGGTCCACCCCCGGGGAGTGCTGTGTACCCATCTGACCAGCTGGGAGTGGTCCACCCCGGGGAGTGATGTGTACCCACCTGACCAGCTGGGAGTGGTCCACCCCCGGGGAGTGCCGTGTACCCACCTGACCAGCTGGGAGTAGTAGCCGGTGCGGTCCACCGGGCGGCTGTGGCGCTGGCGCACCCGCTCCAGCGTGTACGGGTTGTTCGGCATGGCGACGGCGTTCTCCCACTTGCGGTACTCGCGCTCGGCAATCGTGCCTGGACGGGGAGCGGCAGCCGTCAGACAAGTCCGCAGGGCAGCGGCTGACAGAGCGAACCAGGGAGTGAGCCACACGGGAACACGCGCACGGCAGGCACGTGTGCCGCTTACGGCACACTGGCCCTTGTGCGCATACCACGGAAGTGTTCACCAAAGCAACGACGCGTGGAAGAAATAAAGAGTAATATAAAACCGTGCATCAGGCATAAAATGACTTTTGTAAATATCGTGAAAGATACAAGTCACAAGTCATGTTGCATCAAGCGCCGCAAGCTATCAAGCGCCGCAAGTTATCACGTTTGTCATCACGCGCCGCAAGTTGCGTTGCATCAAGCGATCACGCCGGCAGACCCTCCCACCTGAGCGGAGCTGGGGTCGGCAGATCTCCTCCCCGTCGGACTCCGAGTCTCTGCCGCCCTCCACCGGAGACCGTACGCGCGCCGGCCGCGCTCGCAGGATGACCGAGTTGCAGGCCTCGGTCAGGCTGGTCTCCTTGAGCGCCTCGTCCCGGGAGGTGACGTACGAGGCCGGCGGCGAGGTGGCCGGAGTCAGCCGCACGCGCGGCCGCACCGGCGCAGAGCTCTAAGGACCGGCGGAATTGTCAGCGCTCTGAGGACCGGCGGAATCGTCAGCGCTCTGAGGACCGGCGGAATCGTCAGCGCTCTGACGACGGGCAGAATCGTCAGCGCTCTGAAGGCCGGCGGAATCGTCGGCGCTCTGAGGGCCGGCGGAATAGTCAGGGCTCTGAGGACGGGCGGAATCGTCAGCGCTCTGAGGATGGGCAGAATCATCAGCGCCCTAAAGACAAGCGGAATCATCAGCGCTCCGGGGACTCGTGGGATCATCAGCGCTCTGAGGACGAGCGTAATTACCAGCGCCCTGAGGACGGGCAGAATCCTCAGCGCTCTGATGGTGATCGGAATCATCATCGCTCTGAGGACGGGTGGGGTCGGCGCATTGGGGGCATTGAGACCCCTGCGCACACGTCCAGACCACGCCGGAGCATGACAACTGAGCCCCTCCAACGACTCCGATCGTGGCAACGGTTGCAGATGATTCCGTCGGTGGATATGTGCTTCTCACTCAAGAATAATTCAAACGAGCCCATGATGTCACTTATTTCCCAATGCGCTATCACAACCGTTGCCAATGAGCACACAGACCAGCTAGCCCCATGATTGGAATCCAGACACCAACATCTTACACGCGTTGACACAACTGACATCGCTAGCCCAAAACGAAAGTACCAGCACAGCCCGCCCAGTGAACGAGGCGCGCCCTGCCACGCTCTCCGCCCACGCCCGTCCTGTCTGGGCGTCCATCAGCGACGGACGTACCTCCCGCTGCACGACCGGGGTCTCCGGCAGCGGCGGCGGCTCGGGCCGCGGCAGAACCGCCACCTCGAACTGGTGGCGGGCCGAGCCGTGACTGTTGGCCGCCTGCACCTGGTACGTGCCGGCGTCGACCTCCGTCAGCTGGCGCAGCACCAGCACCCACTCCCCGCCGCTGTGGCGCTCTGACGACGGGGCACGGCAGCTGGTCAGTGTACCGCATAGGATCGCAGAGGAGAGCACAGGTGGTCAGTGTACCGCAGAGGGCCGCAGAAGAGAGTACAGGTGGTCAGTGTACCGCAGAGGACCGCAGAGGAGGGTACAGGTGGTCAGTGTACCGCAGAGGACCGCAGAAGAGTACAGGTGGTCAGTGGACCGCAGTGGACCGCAGAGGAGGGTACAGGTGGTCAGTGTACCGCAGTGGACCGCAGAAGAGAGTACAGGTGGTCAGTGGACCGCAGTGGACCGCAGAAGAGAGTACAGGTGGTCAGTGTACCGCAGAGGACCGCAGAGGAGGGTACAGGTGGTCAGTGTACCGCAGAGGACCGCAGAGGAGGGTACAGGTGGTCAGTGTACCGCAGAGGACCGCAGAGGAGGGTACAGGTGGTCAGTGTACCGCAGAGGACCGCAGAAGAGTACAGGTGGTCAGTGGACCGCAGTGGACCGCAGAGGAGGGCACAGGTGGTCAGTGTACCGCAGTGGACCGCAGAAGAGAGTACAGGTGGTCAGTGGACCGCAGTGGACCGCAGAAGAGAGTACAGGTGGTCAGTGTACCGCAGAGGACCGCAGAGGAGGGTACAGGTGGTCAGTGTACCGCAGAGGACCGCAGAGGAGGGTACAGGTGGTCAGTGTACCGCAGAGGACCGCAGAGGAGGGTACAGGTGGTCAGTGCACCGCAGAGGACCGCAGAAGAGTACAGGTGGTCAGTGTACCGCAGAGGGCCGCAGAGGAGGGTACAGGTGGTCAGTGTACTGCAGAGGATCGCAGAAGAGAGTACAGGTGGTCAGTGTACCGCAGAGGACCGCAGAGGAGGGTACAGGTGGTCAGTGTACTGCAGAGGATCGCAGAAGAGAGTACAGGTGGTCAGTGTACCGCAGAGGACCGCAGAGGAGGGTACAGGTGGTCAGTGTACTGCAGAGGATCGCAGAAGAGAGTACAGGTGGTCAGTGTACCGCAGAGGACCGCAAAGGAGAGTACAGGTGGTCAGTGTACCGCAGAGGGCCGCAGAAGAGAGTACAGGTGGTCAGTGTACCGCAGAGGGCCGCAGAAGAGAGTACAGGTGGTCAGTGTCCGCACAGGGCCGCAGAAGAGTACAGGTGGTCAGTGTACCGCACAGGGCCGCAGAAGAGTACAGGTGGTCAGTGTACCGCACAGGGCCGCAGAAGAGTACAGGTGGTCAGTGTACCGCACAGGACTGCAGAAGAGTACAGGTGGTCAGTGTACCGCAGAGGGCCGCAGAAGAGAGTACAGGTGGTCAGTGTACCGCACAGGACCGCAGAAGAGTACAGGTGGTCAGTGTACCGCAGAGGATCGCAGAAGAGAGTATAGGTGGTCAGTGTACCGCAGAGGGCCGCAGAAGAGTACAGGTGGTCAGTGTACCGCACAGGGCCGCAGAAGAGAGTATAGGTGGTCAGTGTACCGCAGAGGACCGCAATGGAGAGTACAGGTGGTCAGTGTACCGCAGAGGGCCGCAGAAGAGAGTACAGGTGGTCAGTGTACCGCAGAGGGCCGCAGAAGAGAGTACAGGTGGTCAGTGTCCGCACAGGGCCGCAGAAGAGTACAGGTGGTCAGTGTACCGCACAGGGCCGCAGAAGAGTACAGGTGGTCAGTGTACCGCACAGGGCCGCAGAAGAGTACAGGTGGTCAGTGTACCGCACAGGACTGCAGAAGAGTACAGGTGGTCAGTGTACCGCACAGGGCCGCAGAAGAGTACAGGTGGTCAGTGTACCGCACAGGACCGCAGAAGAGTACAGGTGGTCAGTGTACCGCACAGGACCGCAGAAGAGTACAGGTGGTCAGTGTACCGCAGAGGGCCGCAGAAGAGTACAGGTGGTCAGTGTACCGCAGAGGGCCGCAGAAGAGAGTACAGGTGGTCAGTGTACCGCACATGGTCGCAGAAGAGTACAGGTGGTCAGTGTACCGCAGAGGGCCGCAGAAGAGTACAGGTGGTCAGTGTACCGCACAGGGCCGCAGAAGAGAGTATAGGTGGTCAGTGTACCGCAGAGGACCGCAAGGGAGAGTACAGGTGGTCGGTGTACCGCAGAGGACCCCAGAAGAAGATGCAGGTGGTCAGTGTACCGCACAGGACCTCAGAAGAGAGTACAGGTGGTTATTGTACCGCAGTGGACCTCAGAAGAGAGTACAGGTGGTTATTGTACCGCAGTGGACCGCAGAAGAGAGTACAGGTGGTCAGTGGACCGCAGTGGACCGCAGAAGAGAGTATAGGTGGTCAGTGGACCGCAGTGGACCGCAGAGGAGTGTACAGGTGGTCAGTGTACCGCAGAGGACCGCAGAGGAGGGTACAGGTGGTCAGTGTACCGCAGAGGACCGCAAAGGAGAGTACAGGTGGTCAGTGTACCGCAGAGGACCGCAGAGGAGGGTACAGGTGGTCAGTGTACTGCAGAGGATCGCAGAAGAGAGTACAGGTGGTCAGTGTACCGCAGAGGACCGCAAAGGAGAGTACAGGTGGTCAGTGTACCGCAGAGGACCGCAGAGGACCGCAGAAGAGTACAGGTGGTCAGTGTACCGCAGAGGACCGCAGAAGAGTACAGGTGGTCAGTGTACCGCAGAGGGCCGCAGAAGAGTACAGGTGGTCAGTGTACCGCAGAGGGCCGCAGAAGAGTACAGGTGGTCAGTGTACCGCACAGGGCCGCAGAAGAGTACAGGTGGTCAGTGTACCGCACAGGGCCGCAGAAGAGTACAGGTGGTCAGTGTACCGCACAGGACTGCAGAAGAGTACAGGTGGTCAGTGTACCGCAGAGGGCCGCAGAAGAGAGTACAGGTGGTCAGTGTACCGCACAGGACCGCAGAAGAGTACAGGTGGTCAGTGTACCGCAGAGGATCGCAGAAGAGAGTATAGGTGGTCAGTGTACCGCAGAGGGCCGCAGAAGAGTACAGGTGGTCAGTGTACCGCAGAGGGCCGCAGAAGAGTACAGGTGGTCAGTGTACCGCAGAGGGCCGCAGAAGAGAGTACAGGTGGTCAGTGTACCGCACAGGGTCGCAGAAGAGTACAGGTGGTCAGTGTACCGCAGAGGGCCGCAGAAGAGTACAGGTGGTCAGTGTACCGCACAGGGCCGCAGAAGAGAGTATAGGTGGTCAGTGTACCGCAGAGGACCGCAAGGGAGAGTACAGGTGGTCGGTGTACCGCAGAGGACCCCAGAAGAAGATGCAGGTGGTCAGTGTACCGCACAGGACCTCAGAAGAGAGTACAGGTGGTTATTGTACCGCAGTGGACCTCAGAAGAGAGTACAGGTGGTTATTGTACCGCAGTGGACCGCAGAAGAGAGTACAGGTGGTCAGTGGACCGCAGTGGACCGCAGAAGAGAGTACAGGTGGTCAGTGGACCGCAGTGGACCGCAGAAGACAGTACAGGTGGTCAGTGGACCGCAGTGGACCGCAGAGGAGGGTACAGGTGGTCAGTGGACCGCAGTGGACCGCAAGGGAGAGTACAGGTGGTTATTGTACCGCAGTGGACCGCAGAAGAGAGTACAGGTGGTCAGTGGACCACAGGAAAAAAGTAGTGGTGAGCACGGCAGAGAGATGATCAGTTCAGCAGGATATTGTCACGTCAGAGGGGACGATCAGCGAAACCGCGGGATGATCAGCATAGAGGAGGAGATATCTGCACAACACAAGAGGCAACACGGAGTGAAGAGTAAGCCGGCCCAAAATAATGCTGTTCACCGCACTTTTACGGATGGTAAGCATGTGACTGCACGTCTGACTGACAGCTGGTCGTCCCACCAGCCCGGTTCCATCGCACGGTCCACACGCGCCTTGACGGAACTCTCATTGGCTGGCCGGTGCTGTCGTACCGATCTGGGCGGAGTCTGAAGGACGCAGCGGCCGCTCTCCGCGCAGGAAGAAGACGCGCGGCTCCGGGTGGCCAGCCACGCGCAGCACCAGCCGCAGCGCACCACCTGACACCACCTGGTGCCGCCGCTCCGGCACCAGCGTGAAGTACGGCTTCTGGGCGGTTCGGCTGGATGCTAGCACCTGCGGCCGTCAGGACAGGCTTCAGTTGGGTCTCCAGACCTGAGCCGACCGATCGCACGGAGAAAATCGGGACCTGATGTGTTACCTCACCACTGGTGGCATCAAGGTCATTATGCATTTGGCTCAACGATGGACTGCCGGCATACGTGGTGGAAGAACAACTTGGAATGCGAAAACAACTAACCAGGTTTGTGCCGCCTATCGTTAGTTTGACTAGTTTTAAATCAAGGGACGGCGGGTGACAATCCATTCGACTAGTAATAGAATATCAAGACTGTTATTGCAGCCTGCGTCATGGACGGTAAGCAAGTTACATGTCACGGGCCTAAGTGATGCTTTGCATGGAGCACATGTTTCTGAGCAAGAGCTCGGGTCTGTCAGCCACCCTGAGCGTAAAGTGGTGCCCCGTCACCCACCCTGAGCGTTAAGTGGTGCCCCGTCACCCACCCTGAGCGTGAAGTGGTGCCCCGTCACCCACCCTGAGCGTGAAGTGGTGCCCCGTCACCCACCCTGAGCGTTAAGTGGTGCCCCGTCACCCACCCTGAGCGTTAAGTGGTGCCCCGTCACCCACCCTGAGCGTTAAGTGGTGCCCCGCCACACACCCTGAGCGTTAAGTGGTGCCCCGTCACCCACCCTGAGCGTTAAGTGGTGTCCCTTCACCCACCCTGAGCGTAAAGTGGTGCCCCGTCACCCACCCTGAGCGTTAAGTGGTGTCCCTTCACCCACCCTGAGCGTAAAGTGGTGCCCCGTCACCCACCCTGAGCGTTAAGTGGTGCCCCGTCACCCACCCTGAGCGTTAAGTGGTGTCCCTTCACCCACCCTGAGCGTGAAGTGGTGCCAGGTCACCCACCTTGAGCGTGAAGTGGTGCCAGGTCTCGGCGCCGGCGGCTGTCACCAGGCAGGAGTACCGGCCGCTGTCCCGGCGACACGCGTCGTACAGCACCAGGTGGTGATGGTGCCGCACGCGGTACATCTCGTACCGGTCGGACGGCTCCAGCACCACCCCGTCTCGCAGCCAGTGCGTCTCTGGGGGAGGCGCCGTGCCGTAAGACGCAGGCAAATCCTCAACTCTCCCTAAAGGTGGCGCTGGTCACGCCCGGGACGCTCGAGTCCAAGGCACGATCAAGAATAGCAGTGCTATTTGTTACCTTGGCTGTTCTTTGATTCTACCTAAGCGGTGTCATTGAGCAACGGGTAAGCCAGGTGTGGTCGGACGACGCGGTGCAGATTTGGGGTGCCGCGACGCCGGGTCACAGGTCGGTGGATAACTAATGACAAGTCAGGTTAAGCAATATTAGTCTCTGTCCTTTCACCGCCTTTTAAAAGTATATATTTTTAACACACTCATGATTGCAAAACTGTGCGGACCGGACATTTTTCCCACGCTGAAACTGAACTGAAGATCGGACACTTTATCCAGGAAACAAAGTACTACTTAATCGACACACATATCTGGTGACTCAAGGCACCAATGGCGAGCATCATCAAACCTTCCTCTTCAGATGCCGCCAGCACTGACCCGAATTCTCGTCGACCGGGACCTTGCAGCGGAAGTGCGCAATGCAGCCGGTCTGGGAGACGAGCTCTGCGCATGCGCCAGGCGGCAGCTCCCTGGCCTGCTCGGCAGGGGGACGCGCGGTGCGCCGCTCTTTCACTCGCCCTGTCGTCTCCGGCGGCGGCGCCGGGTCCGAGCGGGCCGCCCCAGCACCGGTGACGGCGCCAGCGGGCGTCGCCAGGGTCTGGAAACGGCGTTCGCAGCGCGCCCGCTCCACCTCCGAGGCGGGCGACGCCAGGGACGCGGCCGACGGCGTGCGCTCGGCGGGACTGACGGCCTCGACGGCCGCCTCCGAGAACCGCCGCTCTGCGCGCAGCAGACAGTCAGAGGAGGAGCGGTCCGCCTCGAACGGCGACTCGTCGGCGGCCAGGCGCTCCGACACCTCGCAGAAGGCTCGCTCGATGTCGAGCTCCGAGTCGTGCGGCGAGCTGGCGCTCCGCGAGGGCGCCTCCGCCGGGCCGGCGGCCGCCGCCGCCCTGCTGGCAGGAGCGGCCGCCGGCCGGGCAGACTCGGTGGAATGCCGCTCACCGTCCCCGGGCGCTCTGGTCTTCCCCGGATCGGCCGCAGTTGCAGGCTTGCTGCAATGGATTGTGAAGTTATGCCTATTCCGAAAATTCGCACGCAGTGTTCATCACCGGAGGGAACTGTGCGTTTTCCAGGCTGTCCTCTCTCTGTTTGACACATACCGGTATACACCTCCCACAAAATGTCACACAAACATTGTGCAGCCAGTGATCAGCAGAAGTACAACACGTAAAACGCGCAGTCCGCTGACGCGAGCATCACATAGCTGAGTATCAGAGCGAGACACCCCTGCACAGTGCGCGACACTAGCGACCTGAGGTCAGTCTGCTGATCTCTCGGGGCGGTGCCGGTGGCGGCCGGCGCCCTCAGCTGCGGCCCTGACTGACCTGTGGGCGGTGACGAGCCGGCCCGTCAGGTAGCGGTCCCGGTCTGCGTCACGTGCCGCCCGCAGCCGAGCCGTGACATCCCCAGCCGGCGAGACGGAGCGCCACTCCTCCAGGCTCGACTCCGACCCGCGCTCTGAGAGGTCAGACAGCTCGTCCACGTCCCTGCAACAGCGCACGAGGCTTGGATGATGTGCTGGGCTCAGTCAGGTCAGACGGATCGCTTGCGTCCCCGTGATGGCAGGCCGACGGTGTGCTGCGCTCAGTCGGATCTGACAATCGGACAACACCTCAGCGGGCACTAGCAGGGCCTCCAAACGACACTGTGATTTCCGGCAGTGTTTTGTGGCCTCGTAATTCCATTTCAACGGATCAGGCAGCGCATCCGTGTCCACACAGAGGTTAACTAAAGGAACAGACTATCTTCAACACATATCTAGCATCACAGCCCAGACACTCTGAACGCAACGCAAGCTTGTACGGCTGAAAAACAACCCGAACTAAGGCAATTACTCAGAAAATAAATCAAGACATATTTGACAAGGACGCATGAAAAACAACGTGCTCATGACAATGTGACAACAAGTTATCTGTCAAGAACATCGGCAAATCGGACACACGCAGCGTGGTCGGACGCTAACAAAGCCCAAACAAAGCCTCATCGAAATAATTCGTTAGAGGGCTCCCAAAACGGAAGCCGCTTGTAGAGCCCGTAGCACATTTCTTAAACGAGTCCATTTGATAAAATATTTACGTAGGCGGACATCTCTGTTTTTGGCCGGCTACCTGAGACACTTACGTGTGGCACACCACCTCATCGCGACAACCCAGTGCACACCAAGGGTTTACGACATTGCTTAGCAGTTGAACGCCTTAAAACCTAACCTACAACTCTGAAGAATAGCACAGTTCGTGGGCGAAGCTTGTACCGAGCCAGCGGAGTACGTACCGGGAGCCGACGGTGACGGCTACCCGCTGACTGGGGTCGGGCACCAGCATGGGCACCGCCTCCTCGCCCAGCGGAGTACGTACCGGGAGCCGACGGTGACGGCTACCCGCTGACTGGGGTCGGGCACCAGCATGGGCACCGCCTCCTCGCCCAGCGGAGTACGTACCGGGAGCCGACGGTGACGGCCACCCTCTGGCTTGGGTCGGGCACCAGCATGGGCACCGCCTCCTCGCCCAGCAGGGCACATACCGGAAGCCGACGGTGACGGCTACCCGCTGACTGGGGTCGGGCACCAGCATAGGCACCGCCTCCTCGCCCAGCGGAGTACGTACCGGGAGCCGACGGTGACAGCTACCCGCTGGCTGGGGTCGGGCACCAGCATGGGCACCGCCTCCTCGCCCAGCAGCCGGTTGGCTTGGGTCAGCCGCCGCCGCCGGAACAGCCAGTTCTCCTCCCAGGAGGTGCGGTCCGCGTCCGAGGCAGAGTCCTCTGGCGGCGAGACTGGCGGACGGGCAGGTCGGTGAGACTCCGGAGGCACGGTTGAGAAAAAGTTGCGTGATGGAATATACATTACTGCAACCTAGTGGTATTCGCATTCCGGATGATATACATAGAAAGTGGTGAAGACTGACGTTGTGGCTATATACCCGTTACACTTGATCAAAGCCTTACAGAGTTGTTGAATTCAGAAAGCAATGAAATCGCCAGCTCCACGATCTAGTTAAGACGGGAGAAGTCAGGTGGACAAGAAAAAAGAAGGTACATACGCAAAATCGTAGCATAAACTTTATCCGAGAAAAATACATATGGTAGTAAAAAAACGTCACTTAAAACACAGCGAGAGGAACAACACCAATATTGCGTAGTTTTTTTCAGTGAAGGCGTGGCCGTGACATGGCAGGTCAACAGAGCATAGCGTCGGCTGAGCGGCCACTGACCTTGGGGCAAGCTGGTGCCCAGCTCCGGGAACGGCACCGACTGGCCGCCGGCAAAGTCAAGGTCCGAGTACGAGATGGAGAGGCCCGGCAGCGACACGTCCTCGCCTGAGGGTGACCCAGGTCAGCCGCGTCACACGTACACCAGGTACGGGGGACGTCATTAAGGGCTTCGGGGCACAGCGCGAGTATGGACATGAGCGGTATTGCTCATTTGCTTAATTCGAAATTCTTCATAGCTGAGACCTCAACAGACATCTTCCATGGAATTATTTAACACGCGCTCGGGTGGTGGGTGGGGTCAAATTGACCCCCCCCCCCCCCCGAAAGTTTTTCCAGAATGGTTTCCGAACAACGCGGCGTAGCCGCGCCAAATTTTGCACAGCTGTAGACAATTGAATAGCGGATCGTTTGATGGAAAACACTTAGATGCACCTTGTAAGGTCGCTGACCTATGGCAGGTTAAAGTCAGACCATGGTTTAAGCGAAGGCAATTTCTAGAAAATCGTTCAATCTGATGCAACAACGGAGTGTTAGACGAAGCCATACATCTCTGAAATGCTTTCTCAGACAACACAACAACTGAACGAGCACATTGCATTCAACTAAGGTCAGGTTTGAAGGTCAGAACAAGGTCAAAACCAACCTGTTTTAGTACTTTAGGGCTTGCTGTATGGAATAGTTTAAGGTGCTCATTTCCAATTTTCAACATTTGGCTTTTAGGAGCATACTGTCTAGCATTAACTTTGTCGCTTATTCAAATACAAAACTCCGAGCAGTCTTGTATGATTTTGGTCACCATGGCCTTCAAAAGGTCAAACAAGGCCACTGACCTTAAATGAGCGTGTGAACTTTTGCTTAGAAACAGTTATCTAGGTTCTGGGGGCACTTTGGGGACCAACCTGGAGTTTGACCTTGTTTGACCTTATTTGACCCGAAGATCATGACCTAGAAGCCCTAAACTTTGACCTAAGTGAGTTCACGTACAGGTCAAGATACCCTGTGAATTTGGTATATCTAACCCTCGTAGTTCTTGAGATCTCGGGGGGGTCAAATTAACCCCCCACCCGGGCGAAGGGTATTCAGCCGGCCGCCCGGGCACGTGTTAAGGTCAAATTAGGCCACCGAACTAAAATGAGCCGGATCAATTCTTTGTTTTTGAAACGAAATGCCCAGCATAACCCTTGGCGCTTACTTAAGTTAAAAAATCAACATAATCTCGTAGGTTTTTAAGGACCTTCCTAAGATCAAACAAGGTCACTGACTAAGATGAACTCCAGTGACCTCCTGCATAGAGGCTGACGACGCACCCTAAGCAAATGCAGGGTGTTTAACTTGAAATTTTGAAATGTCACCTTTAGGAATGCCGTGACATGAAAAAATCCCTTGTTAACATATTTTTTATATCACAGATCTTTGAACACCTGGACATTGTCGTTTTCGCAGGTAGTGTTCACCTGCCTAGCAGATCGTTTCCACGACAGCCCCCTGAACGAGCGCACTCCTCCATATGTCATACTGACCCACACCTGCTTCGGCTGTGTCTTGCATATGGCGGGTGTAGCCGCTGGGTGCGGGAACGAAGGCTTGCATCTCTAGTTGCCAAACCACAATGCATTGCGGGAAACACAACTGTTGTTGCTTTGTTCCTTTGTTTCTCCAGCTATTCTTCTGCCGCGTTCCTCGCAAATCTCGAAAGCCGCAACTTTTGTTTCAAATTTTTATAGTTTCAAAGATTGCAACCAGCAAATTTTGCCCCCTTTCAGGATAAGTAATTTTCACAGGTCTTTCAGCGCACGTGATAAGCGCGGCTGGTTCATGGGCGTCACAGTCAAGTATTACATAAGCGGACGTGACTGTAGGGGTTGCGTTGGGCTTGATAATGGATGGACCCTCGGTATTAACAAACGCGACACACTGACTCTGTCACAACTAAAAACGAGGACTTAGGCACCTCGCATAGGTAGTAAACAAATTGCAGCAAGTCTAAAAACTGATGATATGCCACATTTATCTAATTATATCGTGAGACATCACCAAAAACCATCGCTGCGTTAACGATGCCAGTCACGAACTTACGCAGCATGACAATGACATGCAAATATGTCACAGTCAGCAGTATTTTGACAGAGATCCGTGTGCCGAAAGGCTGCGTCATGCGTTCCGCTGAGTCAGATGGCCCATGTGGACCGCCGTCCGCTTTCAAACCAACTAGTGAGGTGGGTGGTGCGGACACCGGAGGCTTTGCCCTGCAAGCGAAAACAATGGGGGGAGGGGGGGGGGGGGGGGGGGGGCTCGGCGCAGCGCAGCGCAGCGTGGAACGAGGAGAGCCGTGCCGTCCAGGGGCGCAGCCAGTGTGTGTGTGTGGGGGGGGGGAGCTCGGCGCAGTGCAGCGTGGAATAAGGAGAGCCGTGCCGTCCAGTGGCGCAGCCAGGGTAGGGGGGAGGCGGGGAGCTCGGCGCAGTGCAGTGTGGAATGAGGAGAGCAGTGCTGTCCAGGTGTGCAGCCAGTGGAGGGGGCGGGGAGCTTGGTGCAGCGCAGTGTGGAACGAGGAGAGCCGTACCGCCCGGGGGCGCAGCCAGGGAGGGGGCGCTGGGTCCGTCCCTCCCTTTCGACCTGCATTTTGTTTGTTTTTTAGCATAGACAGCTCCCGACGGGAATTTAAAAATCGTCGTGATGTTTCCTCCCCGAGATCCGGTCCCAACTTCTTATGCAAAGCCTGGCTGCACCCCTGGCACCGACCTGGGCGAACCCAAACCTGCCGGTCCTGCCAGCTTCAGTTGCTGACATGGGAGGCCGGAACCAGCTAACCTATGTCAGCAAACATAGCTTTTAGCTCAGTGTGCGTAGCCCATGACGTTCAGAGTTGATTGGCGTGATTGTGTAAATGTGTAAATTCAGGCATTTGCTAATAATAGCAGCTCGTTACGGTCGATATTGAGCGCGAAGCTCTTGGTCAGAAGTCACGGTTCTGTTCCTCTGTGGGCTTAACGTTGTTCTCTACCAGCAGACGAGCTGGAGCTGCATAAACTGTCACGACTTACCACATTTCCACGCACAAATATGTGAGTAACAAGCAATGCACCAATTTTGTACCGTGAGCCAAGTGGGACCGAGCCTGTCTACTGTCGTGGCTTACCCCCGCTTCCTTCCGCGCTGCTGCTGGACTTGGCAGTCGAGGACTGGGATGCCACGGATTCCCTCCTGCTTCCTGGTGCGTTTCGGTACTTGTGATCTCCCTCCTCCTCGTTCTCGTACATCATGATCTCTTCTATCTCCTCCTCAATCTGTGAGCATTTTTATCTGTCAATCATCTGCCCGTCAATCCAATATGGTGCAGAAAGACTTGACAATAGTACAAGCTTGCTCGCTACAAAACGTTTCGAGTGGCCTTAATCAGCTAGACCAGGGCGGGCTTAAGTATATGATACCATGCCACAAACTGCACCGAGCTACACTAGGCTATCGCATTAAGTGTTCAAACCGAGGGACCTTCAACCGCGATCTTCAGCACCGCCGACATTCTGAGTGCGCTCTCCAGTACACCACACGTTTTCCCGACGCTCTCACATGCTAAACCTTCTTACCGACAACGGGCACGGAACACATTACTACATCATCACCTCCAAACACCACTCTCTCACTGTAATCTCCAGTACGGAGGAGCCCTCCTCCTCCTCCTCCTCCTCGTGGTACCCCGCTCCCTCGGACTCCGAGTCCTCCGCTTCGCTTCGACTCCTGGGTGCGGCGCCCGCCCCCAGCGAGGTGACGTCACATGCCTGCAGTGGGGTGACTTCCTCCGACTGGACGGCCGCATCACAGAAGCCTACCGATTGGACAGCAGTCAGAAGGGGCCACAAATCCGAGAAACCGATCAAAGGGCGTTGCAGGTCATACATGCACACGACAAAAGTACTATTCTGATGGCAAACCCTCGCCTTGTACATGCAGGAAGCATAATGCATTTATCCTGTAGGCCGGAATGAGATTAGTGTCGGACCCTATGTTATATACGCGCCGTTGCTATTCGCGTACCAACCGTAGTTAAGACGTGCGATAATACGTGGGCAAACGGTTTAAGTAAGCACACGCATCAGTCACGTCCACACTTAACGTATTTTACGCAGAGCTACCGCGATTTCCGGCTTACTTGTGCTTCTGACGGGAGGAAGTTAAAGTGCACCGATTTTTCTGACATGGGCCTAGTCCATCCCCCACCAAAAGCAAAGTGCGGGATCGTTTTATGTCGGATCGATGGCAGCAGGAGCCTACGTCTGCTCAGTTCACAACAAAACGTTTACATCATTGAGCGAAGCATGCGTGGTATTTCTTACAGGGCAGGTGGGGAATGTTTTACACCACCTCCAGAGCTGGACCAAAAATTCACATCACCCTGTGAGTGCAATTTCTACTTATTTAGATGATTTTCTGAAATGTTTCCACGAAAATGTAGCATTACATATCACATTATGCCATAAAATGAGAGAAATGTGGAAGAATACGAATTTGTGTTTTATTCTGGCAGTTTATTAGCCGTTTCTGATACTTTAAACAGCCAGTTCCAATAAAGCGGCATGTGCTCTACCCTTCACAGGATGTCAGGCTACAAAGAGCAAGGTACGTTTGCTTTTTTGTGGAAATAGCCAGCTGTTATATATAGTGGAAATGTTGCACATGATGTCATTTAGAATATAGAACAAGTACATCTCAAGATGGGCGACAATTTTCCATTGTTTTTGGATTTGTTGCACCAACTTCTTGGGTCTGCTGCCAGTCCATACAAGTTTCTAAAACGCTCCTTAACCAAGCCCCCCTCCCCCGCCCCTCCCCCCCCCCATGGCGTTAAGTCCGGAGCTCGAGACGCGGCTGCGATGTCCTATAAAACCTCTCAACAGTTACAGTTAGAAAGCTACACTATCAGCATACAACACACAGCAAGGTCACATTTGCGCACAAATATAGGAATTTTCTGGAATACCCACGAGGTTTTCCAGGAATGGCGCCTCAGGTGTAATCGGTATGTGCTCGTCCAACAGGTGACTTAACATTGCATGACCAGTAAGTGCTGCAGTCGATGAACATTGCATTTGGCGCCGTACTGCATTAGTCTCTAATGTATGCACCTGTAAAATACGTAAGGGCCTTGCAAGTTTCTACACACCTGTTCTGCCGCGTGTGGCTTTACATTATCCTCGCGTCAGAGAAACGCAGGTCATAGGACGAGGGAAGGGACGTTTGCCTGCCCTTGCCGCATTTTGCTCCTGTATCTGATATGCGCTGTGGCCAGGTGAGGTCGTCGGTGTCGTATCGTGCCCGGCGTCGTCCCTTACCGGCAGGGGGCGCAGCAGGGGCGGCGGCGGCGGCGGCCGGGCGGCGCGCCTTTTCTCCCAGCCGGCTGAGGACGGCAGTAGCCAGGATCTCCTCGTAGGTGTGAGAGTTCGGCTCCTCACCGCAGCCGTCCGGCGAGGTCAACTCGGCCCGCGACTCCAGCGACCCCAGCTGAGGACGGGGCGCAACGTCAGGCGACCCCAGCTGAGGACGGGGCGCAACGTCAGGCGACACAAGCGACCCCAGCTGAGGGCGGGGCGTAACGTCAGGCGACCCCAGCTGAGGACGGGGCGCAACGTCAGGAGACCCCAGCGACCCAAGCTGAGGATGGGGCGCAATGTCAGGCGATTCCAGCGACCCAAGCTGAGGATGGGGCACCACGTCAGGCGCCTCCAGCGGCTCCACCTGAGGACGGAACACCACGCCTGCACGTGCTGCCCGTGGGAGGCAGCCCGAATAAACGCTAATTTCAAACCGCAGACGTTGAGTTATAAGTGTATCAATGAATTGCTAGTCGTAGTTACAACCATGACAGTGACGAAACTTACAAAACAAGTAGTACGGCGCGAACTTTAAAATGTCATCTCTTAAAGTGTTCGCATTGCATATTTACCATTCTATTATCGTTAACTACAGTTGTTACATCAAAATGCTTCGTAAGCGTCCAATGCCGTTCACCATTCTTGAAACATAAATCAAACAAGCAATTTGGACGGAGCCTCTGCGGTGTACTAAACACGGATATCATAAAACGGCATATTTCGGCGCTGTACGGTGCGGTGCGTTGGCATACGAAAGGATGCAACATGATCGCTTTTACTGAGAACACGCCCGTGGATCACGGACCTACATCACACATTTCAGCGTACTGATCAGCTTGGCCGCTGCCTACTCGTGAACTAAGATCGAAGATATTACTGGACGATTTGTAATGTCCGATGGACAAGCAACAACACAGTCTGAACGGCGTAAAACGTGAACAACTGTCTATGGCGGCAGAGCAGGATTTTTACCGGACCCCATTTTCACTCAGGGAGGTCCGTGTTAGGCCTGAGGCGGCCGATGTGGCGGGACGGCGCTAGGCGGGACGGAGCGAGGCGGGACGAAGTAGGGCAGGGCAGAGCGAGGCGGGGCGGAGCAAGGCGGAGCGGAGCGAGGCGGGGCGAGGCGGGACGAGGCGAGGTGGGGCGGGCCGTGACGTCACCGTACCGGGGTGCCGTCGGCCTCCTGCCTGAGCGGCAGCCGCATGGCTGCCTGCTGCGCCTGCTGCAGCACCGCCTTCAGCTCGGCCACCGTCGTCGTCGGGCTGCACGACTCATCCAGCGGCCGGTCTGCGCCGTCAGCAGGAGTGAGTCAGAGCCGCGAGCGAGGAGGGCCTGGGCGCTGACCGCGGACTCCTCAGGCCCGCTTGCTGCGGACTTGGAGACATGATCACTCAGCGCTAATAACAGTGTGATTATTTGGAAAGCACTTTTACACTTGTTCGAGACACAGGCGCCTTTAGCTGGCAACATCAAACGCAAAGTGGAAGGCATGCTTTTCGACTTAAAATTGGGGGACAACAGAGAGTAGCAATGCCAAGAAGCACCGTTAGAGACAGGTTTGATGTGCACAGGCATAGGACAAACACTGCTAAGTTTTCAATTGGTCTTCTCTGCATTGCTATTTCGCCATGTCACATCGCTTCCAGATAGTTAGTTACACATCGTTTCACTTGATGCAAAAGCGACGGTAGCTTTCAATAGAGTAACAAAACGGTGGACCGTTTCACTGCACCGCACGTACATGCAGCGAGATGGGGTGCGCATTATTAACATGCGTGACCAAATAACCGATGCAATCAATATCAGGAACTTGCATGCACATCGAAGTACGTGGTCGAAGTTTACTCAAGTGCGGCGAAAAGGGATAGTTCGATTTCGAAACCATGCAGTTAATTAACGAGTTGCACCATAGCATTCCAGAACGGAGCGCACGACACTGACGAAAGCTCACAGAACCGCGGCACGAACATCTCACTTTGCAGAGTCATGCAGAGAGACCGAGTTAGTCGGGAGATGGCCGACACCAGTTTCGGATGATAATCTCTGTAAAGCTCAGCATCTGGAAGAAACCGTGTGACCACGAACTAAAAAAGGACGGGGAAGTAGCATATGCACTATTTGACATACAACTCCAGAATTACAACACAAACGTATAACGAAAAGCTTTCAAGAGTATGACAGTTATGTCGTTGGGAAACGATACAGTCGCCTGGGATGACCACACCTTTGGCACGAATGACAGAGTACGTCAGGGGTGTAGCTTTATATTCAGCTGCGGGGCATTCAGCCATCGCAGCTGAATATTTCTTCACATTGCCCTGCCTCCAATTTGGGCTCAAGCACCCCAACCAAACTTTTACAAGAAAGTGAGCAAAATACAGAAAAACCGCATGCCGGCGTATTTTGGAGCACCCTTCGTCATTTTCCGGCAAGATGGTTCTGTCTTCATATTCACACTGAGATTTGCATTTCAAAACCGATCACTGCAGCGTTGCCTAAACGCAGGCCACTAGTGGTATTCAACATACTAATTATCATGTCACACCTCATTTACCACGACAGTCGAGACCATGACATCCGAATTTCATCAAAATGCAAGGTCATTAAACCCGGACCCCTGCGATTTCGCAAAAACTCGTGCCATTAGTAATGCCAAACGTGCTGATTATGGTAGTGCATCTCGTTTCCAGCCATATTCATCCCCAAATTTAAAGTCATCGTACCTGGACCCCACAATTCTTCTAAAACCCAAATAAATGATAGAGTTTGACAAAATGATGGTGATGATTCCACTCGTTTTGAATCACATTTAAAACCGTAACTTCAGCAGGTCATCAAAACTCTTAATCACTCAACCTGGACTCCCACGATTTTGCCTTTTTGACATTGGCAGCATTTAACGTGCTGATAAACGATGGTAAATCTCGTTTACCGCCACCTTAAAAACTTAACCTCCACACTCCATCAGAGTCGAAGATCATTGAACTCGCACCACTACGATTAAACTTCAGATTTGTTGGCGTCCCGGGCTCGGTGTTAACAAGTAAATTCTTGTATACTATATCTAATAATGTGGCGGAAAGCGATTCACCACTGGTACCAGCATGACACTGCTAATTACATGGCCGTAATATTGTTTTTCTACGATGGGAAACGAAATGCAACATCGTGCTCCGCATACTAACGACTATTAAAGCTGTATATGTGGACAAAATTATAGCGGCCTGAGCTTAATAACCTTATACTTTGGAGATCTCCGTGGGTCATAATTTTCACTGTGCCTCGAAACGAGACCAACCGCCGTAATCAGCATGTCAAACTCATCAATCAGATAAGTGCCAGAACAGCTGTGAATGGGTCCAGTTTCAATGATCTTGAAATACGACCAAGATTATATTTCAATATAAGAAATATGACCTTGACCTACGCAGACCTCTGATAGCCACGGTGTTGAATGTGGCGGGAAACGAGTTGCACCATCGTAGTCAGTGTGTTCGACGCTTCTATTGGTTTGAATTTGAGCCAAATCGTTGGTGTTCGGGCTACGTAACCTTGCTTGTGTTTCGATGACCTCTGAAAGTCACCTGTCAGTGTCGTGGGAAGCGAGGTGACCATCATCTAACACCTTGAAAACCACCAGTGCCTTGTGATTAAGCACAGCTGTAAGGGTTTGTGCCTGAATGCAAATTTGAATGTGGATACGAATACAAAGCTGACTTGACAAACGCCGTTGCTCACTGTTCGCCCCCCCCCCCCCCCCCCCCCACATGCACGCACAAACTTAAACTCATTCCAAAAAACTACGTCCCTGAGCCCTCCAAAGGGCATCATAAGACATTTCTCGAAAATATAGCATTTAATTTATATATTAACCGATTCAGAAGCCCCATTGTACAAAAGTGACATTAAAGACCCAGAAGACCGATTACACTTCTACACCTTTAGCTTTGCTTGAACGTCAACGAGTCCTGCTAGCGACATAAAAGCCGAGATCGATAACATTCAGTACACTGAACCGACCGTCCCAATGCCTTACCACCAGATGGACTAGTTTTAAATAACCCCTTAAGCCCGACGCTGTGATGACCACCCCAGAGTTTGGCCCTCCGCGGCTCGCCGGTGCCGCCGGCCTCTCACCAGGCCCCCCCCCCCTCTCCCAGCCAAGCCTCTGACCGGGCCCCTCTCTCCCAGCCCAGCCTCTCACCAGGCCCCCCTCTCCCAGCCCAGCCTCTCACCAGGCCCCCTCTCCCAGCCCAGCCTCTCACCAGGCTCCCTCTCCCAGCCCAGCCTCTCACCAGGCCCCCTCTCCCAGCCCAGCCTCTCACCCGACCCCCTCACCTGCCAGCGACGGTTTGATGCTGGCGGTCTGGATGGACTCCCCCAGCAGCGTCTCGACCACGTTCTCCAGGTGACCCCTGACCTCTGCCGTCACGTGGTCGGGGTCACGGAGGGCCGGACCGCCTGGGGTGGGATGTTCTGAGGTCACTTGGCAAGCCGCCAGGGCGCGGAACAGCCACACCTAACGACAGCGGGCATCAGCTGGCCATGGCCTGTTCCGTTGCCCTTAGCAGAGTCATGTCTGACCGTTGTAACTCAGCATGCCAACACTTACCAGTCGCTGTTACTTGGCAGTACAGTGGCTGCCAAAACCGCGCTCTGATCAGGTCGTCCATGCACTTCGGAACACCTCAAAATGGTATTACATCATCGCACATGACACCTTGGTGGAAAGGTCATCGCAAGACCAATGTCGGGCGCTTGGCCCCCCCCCCCCGCCCCCCTCCCGACGATGCGCTTCCACGGCTGGTGCCAAACGAGTGGAGCACACGATCAGATTGGAAGTGCATGCGGTAGTGAAGTGGTAGTGTCGCAGTACGGAACAGGTGAAGAACCGGCGCGCCGCACGGGCCGCCGTCTGAGCCTGAGTTCGGTGTGCACCCCATCTGGCACCCACCTGGGGGCTTGGCACCCACCTGGAGGCTTGGGACGGGGTACGTCGTCGTGGCTCACCGACGGGTCGTACCCAGAGTCGTCCTCGCTATCCGCTGCGGGCAGGCGGGTCACTGGTCAGGATGACCTTGGGTGTCCGTTGCCAACCACAGGCAACGCCGGGGGTTCCGCGAACAAAGTGTCGGGTAAAGCAGTGCGTTTGACCCAGAAGTTCACACTAGTCAACAGCTTGGTGTTCCCACTCCGCACACAGTTCACAACAAATCAAGAGGGAAACTTCAGAACTTGATACCGGACGGATGGGCATAACGGCTGAACCGCGTCGCCCAGATTGCGGCCTGTCTCCCAGGCGTTGTGGAACACACGATTATTGAATTAGGATCTCAAACTCAACCAGGTATCTCTCAACCAGGCGTCCCGCAATCTGGTGAGGGAATGAGTGCGGAGTGCGAATGTCCCTATACGCCTTTTTGAATGCGTTTGGGAATGCATGCGTTTGCGATGGCGTGGGTGATTTCATTCGCGTCATTTCCAGGAGCCCCTCGCTGTCATTCCCTGCCGCCAATAGCAATGACACGAGATAAGAATGAAACATAAGCAGCTCATTCTGTGCCGTCTTTTCAGTTACGAGGAGGACATCGGTTATACGCCACGATACGAATACGTCTACTTGAAACATGAACACAACAGATGTGTATAATGGACGACCTCATTGACAACGCTTTGCTCGTCTTAGCCCGTAACTCTCTTGCGCTGGAAAACGAGAAATGGCGGCACCGATAAATCTAGCCTTACATTTCTTGTGCAAACTTTGCAAAGTTAGCACCATGGCATGCCAAGTCAGCTGTCTATGGCGTCATCTCTGAATGTTTCTAGGGTTGTTGTTACGGCAAACGTCTGACATTTCCGCCTGTTCATTGGTCATACATAACATGTGCCTTTGGTCAGGCAACTAGCACAGAACTATACTCTACAAACACATAGGCACTTCTGATAGGTAAATAGTCTTTTCATAGTGAAATCAGGTCGATGACCTATATAAATCCCGTTGGAAGTAAGATTACCACTCAGGTTAAAGCAGACCACTTTATACACTGAATCTGATTCTGAACACGATTATGTGCTTGCGTAGTCAAAAAAGTGCTACCTTTGCTCAGGAAAATGTTCATTTCTTAACTTTTGGTTCCTAAGTATTGTTTACCTAACCTGGCGGCCCATCGTTCGACTTCAGGAGGTGAAATCTGATGAAGTTTGACTTCTTAGGCCTTGGCACGGATTGGCACGGATTGGCACCAGCCTTGGCACGGATTCTTAAGTCGTGGCCTAGCTCAATTTTGAGTCGACTAGCGAGAGGCGCTTACTACCTTCTGGCCCATGTTGCCAGTAAGAAGAGCTCCCGCACGGCGAAGGTTAAGCTAAAGGCTTCCTGACCGCACGACTCAAGTGGCGGCTGACACCCAACGGCAGCACACGCAAAAACCGCCACCGTTCCCCCGACCTTCCATGCTTGGCTTCCCGCAGAATGTGGCGTCGACACTCCAATGACGAAATATGACAACGGCGCGGGGAATCAAGCAAAGCGCAGTATGGCGTCACACATCATAGCAATGATATCACAGGGTAGAACGGAATCAAACCAACGAGACTGCTGATATGCAATCAGGTGAGTGTGAGACATCCAAACTGCGGTGTTGGCCGCGTTCGATCATGGCTGATCTAGTCGGAACCGGGGACGTTTATGACATCGTGTGCAGCCACAGGCCTAACGCCCCCCCCCCCCCAAAAAAAAGCAACTGCGGATGCTGGCGTGGCCGCGCGCGCGAAGGCCGCGCGCGCGAGCAGGCGGCACAATCGCGCGGTGCATCCATAGCACGTACGCACGTACACACACAACAATCCTACAATGTGCATGTTAAGCGGCCAAGGCCACCAGCGAAGCCGGGGCAAGGGGTGGCGGCATACAGCACATGTGCCCTGCTGCTAAACGGGTACACAAGGTAACGCACGGCACTGGCTAGGAGGATGTACGCGGACCCGGGGTTTGCTCCCGCAAGGTAGCATTCAGTGGCGAAGTTACGGGGGTCGCACGGGTCGCGGACACGACCGTGGGGAAAGCCGCAACGCATTAAGTTGTTTCGTTTCTGACCTTAGGCGTTCACTTCAAAATTGTGTTTCTACGCTTTCTTTAATTATTCAGAATTCCTTCCACATTCAATCTGGTATTACTACGGCTAACACCATTTTTCCTTTTCCTCCTCCACCATTTTTTCACATAAAAATGGTTAACCATCAGCTACTCAAACGTATGCCTCAAAACACGAACCACGTAAATGAGGGTGAATGGTTTCATTCAAGTCGGTACGACGCGACATCAGGAGCCTGAGCTGTCGGTACGACGCGTCATCAGGAGCCTGAACTGTCGGTACGACGCTACATCAGGAGCCTGAGCTATCGGTACGACGCGACATCAGGAGCCTGAGCTGTCGGTACGACGCGTCATCGGGAGCCTGAGCTGTCGGTACGACGCGCCATCAGGAGCCTGAGCTGTCGGTACGACGCGACATCAGGAGCCTGAGCTGTCGGTGAGACGCGACATCAGGAGCCTGAGCTGTCGGTAAGACGCGAAATCAGGAGCCTGAGCTGTCGGTAAGACACGGTGTCAAATCCCGTCATCCGAAGCCCTATAGCAGCAGCCGGTCCCGACTTGTAGATGAGTCGATACGGCTGGCCAGCAGCAGCACAGGAGGCTTCTCAAAGCGTAACAACAGATCTGAATTTCTACAAACGCGCGACTGCTGAGCCTCCCCCCCCCCCCCCCCCCCCCCACAGTGAGCGTAGAAACATATCTATTGACGTCCGAGCCACAGCTGTTCTTGGGACGGAAAAAAGTTCGCGCGGAGGGAAGAGCCAATAGTTTTTTTCTCATGGATTTCTTCATCAAAATTAACGACACTATTGTTCGTGCCTACTCATGTGATTCCGTGCAGCTTGAAAGGCATGGTCGACCACTTCACATCTCGAATGTTTTCACTCCTTCAAATTATGTGTCTAAAATTGTCACAGCTAAAACATTATTTTACAAAACTATGATGCAGTCCACGATCGCATGTTTCACACCGATATGCGGAGATGAAACCGCTGCGAAATGGAACGTGAATGGGCATAGCTGACGATGGATAAACAAAGACGCTACGGCACGTGCCGCTACAAAAAGGTTCCGGTAAGTGCGCCTGACGAGCCATACAAAGCTGCCCAGGGCCCAGGCTGACGAGGGCATAGACAAAGTTGCGGGCGGACAACTGAAGTAGGGAGCTTTCACGCCAAAGATGCTGCTGGTCCGTGAACGTTAGTCACAGTCAGTCACATAAGTCACAGCCACAGTCACGTAATTTACAGCCACAGTCACGTAAGTCACAGGCACAGCCACGTGTCACAGTCATGTAGGTCACAGTCACAGTCCCGCAAGTTGCAGTCGCAGTCACGTAAGTCACGTGAAGTTAGAATCTAGTCTCTTTAGTGCATAAAAATGAGTAAGAAATCCTCGATATAAATTCGCTCATTTATATACAAAGGACACTTGATGATCGTTGCACCCTCTCGCCTAAAAACATAAGGGGATGCTACAGGCTCGTTGCATTCTTCTTTGATATCGAGTTTCATCAGCGTTGACAGGTATTTCGCCCATACCAGTTATCAGCCGTGTATATTTATCTAGTGCACACAGTAACCACCTCAACGTGTGCCTGCGTTATACCCGCGAACGGATTACCTGGTGCGCAAACCAACCTCTACACGGTGTAATCGTGTTCTACTCGGAAACGCAGTTGCCACCTGCGGGTATAGAACGAAGTAACACACAAACGACGCAGACGCGAAGACAATGCCCCGGCGGCGCTCGCCTCCCCAATTCTCCGCACGACACATGCCTCAGAGAACGGCGGTCCCAGCAGGCGGCGGGGCGTGAAAGTCGCCTCGCGAACTTCGGCCACACCCAGCCGCCGGGCGGGAGAGCGGACCGTCGTGTCACACACCCCGCCCCCCGACACAGCCTGAGGCTACACCCAGCCGCCGGGCGGGAGAGCGGACCGTCGTGTCACACCCCTCGCCCCCCGACACAGCCTGAGGCCACACCCAGCCGCCGGGCGGGAGAGCGGAGCACCGTGCCACACCCCTCGCCCCGCCCCCCGCCCCCCCCCCCCCCCGACACAGCCTGAGGCCACGCCCAGCCGCCGGGCGGGCAGAGCGGACCGTCGTGTCACCACACCCCGCCCCCAGACACAGCCTGAGGCTACACCCAGCCGCCGGGAGGGAGAGCGGACCGTCGTGTCACACCCCTCGCCCCCCGACACAGCCTTGAGGCCACACCCAGCCGCCGGGCGGGAGAGCGGGACCGCCGTGTCACGCCCCCCCCCCCCCCCCCCGACACAGCCTGAGGCCACACCCAGTCGCCGGGCGGGAGAGCGGACCGCCGTGTCACGCCCCTCGCCCCCCGACACAGCCTGAGGCCACACCCAGTCGCCGGGCGGGAGAGCGGACCGCCGTGTCACGCCCCCCCCCCCCCCCCACCCCTCGACACAGCCTGAGGCGGCGGGACGGGGCTGGCCGGTCCGGGCGGCGGTGACGGAACGTGTCGCCACAGTCGGCGATGTTGTCATCCGGGCGCGGTCCGAGGTGACAGCGGCCCGGTCATTTGTCGGACAGATGACGCCGGGCCGCGCCGAGTCACACATGGGCGGAGAAGACGGACACCGGAGGAGAGACACAGGCGCACACGGCGGGAGAGACGCGCACGGGAGACAGCCACACACGGCGGGAGAGACACGCACAGGAGACACAGGTGCACATGGCGGGGGGAAGGGGACGCGCACGGCGAGAGAGACACACACGGGAGACACAGGCGCACACGCGGCGGGAGAGACACGCACAGGAGACACAGGCACACGCGGCGGGAGAGACGCACACAGGAGACACAGCACACGCGCGGGAGAGACGCACACAGGAGACACAGGCGCACGCGGCGGGAGAGACGCGCACAGGAAACACAGGCGCACACGGCGGGAGAGACGCGCACAGGAGACACAGGCACACACCGGGGAGAGAGACACGCACAGGAGACACAGGCACACACGGCGGGAGAGACACGCACAGGAGACACAGGCGCACACGGCGGGAGAGACGCACACAGGAGACACAGGCGCACGCGGCGGGAGAGACGCGCACAGGAAACACAGGCGCACACGGCGGGAGAGACGCACACAGGAGACACAGGCGCACGCGACGGGAGAGACGCGCACAGGGGACACAGAAGCAATATGACGGGCAACATGAGGTTGCCAGTCCATGTGCGTCTTTTAGCGGGTTTACGAGTGACCTTTGTGCACCCATTAAGGCCAAGTCCAAACTACTGGTTTGTACTAAGTTCACAGGTGAACGATGTAAATGACGATGTGTGCATTGAAAACTGCCTATACGTCAACGTAGACGCACATGGGATGTCGGGAGTATGCGTAACAGCTTCAGACGGGCCATGGATGGGAGACACAAACGCATACATGAGGAGAGACACGCATAGGGGAGACACACACGCGGGGGGAGAGACACAGAGGCACAAAGGAGGGCTGGAGCGCAAACGAGAATCAGAGAATGTCAATGGATGGGGGACAGAGTCGTATGCGGGAGGAGGGGCGAGCACCGCTGACACACACATACGGTAGAGTGGAGTGTGAGCAGGAAGCCCGCGTTTCATGCTCGCGGACGGGCGAGGGAGCCAGACGACGTGCGTACCTATCATCACACGCAGCCACGCAGCCACGCGCAGGCGCTCAAAACCGCCACGTCAGCGCATGATGCATGCATGTCTGCATGGAGGAGAGGAGCGTGCAGAGAATTTCACAACAAAGATGACAAAAACCACCACTAATGATGGCGATTAAGTGATGCTGGCTGACCAAAAAGGTAAAAGGCAAAGGCGAAAAGGGCCAAGGGTCCCAGCAGAGACAAATAGGCTGAGAGCATAAAACACAGAGGATAATACACGGAACAGACGGACGGACACGGACACACAACAAACGGAAAGCTGACAGCCAGAGCGGAGGCTGCTGGAGATCATATGCGACCGTTTTAATGATGGACACGATCCTCGCCATCAGATGAGCTCGTTTACCGGGAGAAGACGTCAGGACGTGTAGGTCGAACCGCGCCAGCAGCAGGGAGATGAACACGCAGATGGCCACGCCGGCCCAGAACAGCGGCACCAACAGAAGCGCCATCACGGGGCGGGCAGCACCACTGGCGAGGTGGGTCACCTCCAGACGACGCGTCACAGCGCCAGGCACCAGCGTCAGTGCACCAGGCACCAGCGTCCGTGCAGTGTAAGTTGGCACCAGCCCGCGACAATCGCTGAAGGAGCTGATGCCCGAGCACGTGATACGATACGAGTCTGCACAGATCTTCGATGACGTGTCCAGGGGCAGGCGACACCGACGCCCCAGGCTCAGTGTCGCCTCGCAGGTCAGCACCGATCACCAGCACCAGCGGCCAACTGCCGGCCGGACATCAAGGCAACACCACCTCGCGACGGTCGCTGGTGCGCTGGACCGAGTCGCCAGGCGCTGGGCTGGCCAACTCGCCAGCGGTCAGCGCTGTCCCAGCTGGCGTCCCACTGGCCGGTCACCAGACGACAGTCGCCGCTCCACCCCCGGGCGACACTGCGCCGCGCCGATCGCCTGCGAGCCGACTGCCTCTCCGGGCCGGCCGTCCCCGGCGCTGATCGGCCCGCACGGTCCGAAGTGAAACCCGCCGCGGCGCCGGCATCGACCGCGCCGACGCCGCACTGACCCGCACGGCAGACCGCGCGCCGACCCGCTGCTAGGTACACAGGCCCTGGCACGGTGCACCGACGCCACAGCCCGTGCCAGCCACGCCACGGCGCGCCTCCGGGTGAACACCGCACGCGGTCGGGGTGACGGCCGTCACACGACGGTGGCGGCACGCCGCGCCTCCGACGCTCGGTGTGCCGGCGCCGCGCGCTGACCGGCCTACTGCCGCTGACCTGGCGCGGCACAGGGGCGGCCGCCTCCGCGCGTGATAAGCTGCCGGCCCGGCCCGCGCGCACGACCTCTATCGCGCCCCGCTCGGGACGAGCTCTGATAGCGCGCCTTTTTCCGCGCGAAGGATAGTGGTCTGATTGGCGCGGTTTTTCGGTCATCTTTGATGCGGGGTGACCGCCCAGGCCAGTGATGCAATTCTTATCGTTGATGTGAGAGTCGAATAGAATTGGCGGCATCGCTTGATATGTCGTGCAAACTCAATGTTATCCAAGCTATTCTCTGAGAAATGATAAACGCTAGAAGCCCTCAACTAATGTGATAAGAAATAAAGATACTAATCACGCCTATGGCAAATATCATAAGAGCACGTAAGTTTGACAACTGTGCTAATTCAGTACACCTAGTATTTATTTAATAGCACTTCTACCTACTATAACTCTGGGAGTCGTAACACACAACAACAAAAGCGAACATTGGTGAGGGGCTGGTGTAAGGCTGTTTTCTAACACAGCAAGTTCAAGCGAAGAAGGACTCCGTGTAGGTAAATGGAACCATAGCTATTGCTTTGAACCTGTTGCTCGACTGCACGAAGCTTGCAACTCATACAGCCCCAAAGAGGAACCTAGACAAGCAAAGCTTGCAATCCGAATCTATCACAACATCACATAAGAACAGACTGACCAGGATGCATTTGTGGCACAAATGTTCTCTATACACCCATCTTCGCCTCAGGCCCGCCATCCGCTTTGTACACGTGCCCTGGGTTGCAGGCTCAAGGCGATCTGCATGCCCCGTTTCCGCCCACCCCAATCAGCAGGGCATGAGGTGCGAAGCCCTGAACCTCGCGACGCCGCCCCCGCAGCACTCGCGGGTCGCTGTTAGTCAGGGGTAAGCCCGGCCGGAAACGTGGTACTCAGGTGCTCGCCAACTTCAACGGTGCAGAGAACACGTGCTGATAACGGCGCTGACGTCTTGACCTCAAACGCCCCCGACTTTTAATTATCAGTCCCGCACATTCCGCCGGCCCCAAATGAGACAGCGGACCGGGAGGCGGCGACTTTACTCGCCCTGTCAACCGACTGCTGTAACGGGTCATTTACGCGGCTATGGCGGACGGCACTCACAGAATCGGGAGCCGGTCGAGGTCCGTATGCTGACTCGATGCTTCAACTGAATCTCAGACAGCCACTTGTTGGCCTGCAACTCCCTGTTGAAAGACCACCGGAAATCAACGGGCGGTAACGAAAGCTTGCAGGACAAAATAGCAATGCAATTCAAAAGAGCCGGTTATCGGTGCACAATGGGACGCAATTGCATAAAGCACATCACGCCTTCCATCACAGAGTGACGACCATATGTGCAGTAATTGTACGTAACAGCTCTACTTTTGAGAGCTGAAACCCAGGAGCCGGTGCCGCAACAGCTTTGGCCATTAATGACTTCATAAACTTGATTTCATGTAAGGTGAGTGCATCACGCTCACACCAGAGCACGGGCCCACAAATCACCGAGAATCCCACGCTTCACGACTGCGGACGACCACCGGCGGGCCCAAGAGCCACCACAACTGCGCGGCGCGGTCGCGGAACGGTTGCCGTCTGAAAGCAGCCGTCACAAGGCCGAGCCAGGGTCTAGGGCCGGCTCAGACTGATCACAAGGCCGAGCCAGGGTCTAGAGCCGGCTCAGCCTGATCGCAAGGCCGAGCCAGGGTCTAGAGCCGGCTCAGGCTGATCACGAGGCCAAGCCAGGGTCTAGGGCCGGCTCAGATTGACCACAAGGTCCAGCCAGGGTCCAGGGCCGGCTCAGACTGATCACGAGGCCGAGTCAAAGTCCAGTACAAGGGTCAGACCGATCACAAGGCCGAGCCAGGGTCTAGTGCCGGCCCAGACTGATTGCAATGCCGATCCAGAGTCTAGAGCCTACCCAGACTGATCACAAGGTCTAGTGTCGGCCCAGACCGATCACAAGGTCGAGCCAGAGTCAAGTGTCGGCCCAGACTGATTGCAATGCTGATCCAGAGCCTAGAGCCGACCCAGACTGATCACGAGGTCCGACTCGGACCGATCACATACCCGAGCTAGTCTAATGCTGGCTCGCACTGATCACAAGGCCGAGCCACAGTCCATTATCGGCTCAGAGTGATCACAAGGCCGAGCCAAAGTCTGTTACCCGTCCAGACTGATCATAAGACATAGCAAGTGACCAGCACCGACTCAGATCACTGACGCAGGTGGATCACAAGGCCGAATCGATCACAAAGCTCCTTCAGGGCCCAGTGCAGGCCCAGCGTAGTGCTAACAACCAGGGACTAAAATGAATACCCGCTGACTAACGGGCAAGGCGAGGTATCGCGGTGCCCAAAAGCAGCGCGGAACCAAAGTCCCCGTTGAAGCTAATGATAACGGCATGTGAGCAGGCATGAACTCAACACTCAGAGCATGTAACAAATACTCCTTAGTCCTATCTGACCACATAGTTCAAGAGGAGGCCGAAATGAGTGTACGTCACGAACAGCACTTGCACGGGCAAAGTATTCCGGTAGCATAATGAGGTAAATGAACTGTGTCACAGCCCACGAAGTAAGCCGAGTTTGAGCAATGAATCACCCATGAACCTGCATACTTCGCCGGGTAAACACCCAGTCACTGATCTCCCAAATGCAGTCATGCAGACACACAGCCATAAGCATAGGCATTTCCTACAGCTACTTTGATCCACAAGACATCAATTCGGTCAACCACGTCATGTCACACACATTCGTTCACCCAAACCGTCACGCCGGTATAAAGGCACACAGATGCATCGCATCGTCACAGATCTATGCACAGCTACCGTCACACCGATACGCAACCGCGCCGTGGTATGCGCACACGCGTCCATAAAGACGAGCCAGCCATGAAGAGACGCCATACAAAAGTGCGTGTCATCGCAAATGCACAGTCCACAATGAATAGCGATAATCCACGAACACATCGGAACACACCCACACTTTCCCATGTCGCACGGCACGTTTGTGTACCAGTCGCCGAACTGCTCTTGCGGTGCGGGGCACGCAAGTTCCACCTGCGTTGACATCCAGAGCCAAGCGTGTTGGCACGTCTGCACCTTCAGGGCACGCCCCAACAACCCACACGGGAGTGGTCACCCACCCTCAACGCACACACTGGAGACGCACAGCACCGCGGCAGTGCGTCGGGCCTGGTGGGTCTCGCATACAAGCGCCCCTCGCCGAGCCGGCGGCACCGGCTCGACACCGGCGCCGCCTTCTGCTCGTATATGTCGGGCGGTGAATGACCCCCCCCCCGCACCTTGAGATACACACACACTTGTCCGTATGCTTATCACGGCAGATTCCCATTCAAGTAAGGTTGACTTTACGCGGGATCACGAGGCCACGTGTCTTGTGATTTTTGGTATGCGTGCCATGCGCTACATGGAGATTTTGCGCGAACTTTGGGCGCTCGGCGGGAAAGCAAGTGACTCCAAAAGAAGCTTTGTGCACGCCGTGGATAGCCTGTACCGCGCTGGCGTAGTTAACAGGGACACATCGGGGTAATCGGGGTAATCAGGGACATCGGGGTAACAGTCCGATGCTGGATCGTCGATCTACAATAATTCGTGCGTTTTGCGTATCCAGATATTGATTGTAATGCACAGCATCGTGAACTCCAGTGAGAGCTGAAACGAACACCTTAAAAACGACAGCGAATGCACACCAAGTTGTTCGCTGAATGACGCACACGGACATCTCAGATGTTTAGCGTTGCCAGGTCTCCCACTAATCTCTGCAGGAGGATGAAACTCTTCGCTAGGGACAGTCCAGCCCGCTGCTCCGCACGCGGCCTGTTAGCGCACGCTTGTCCACCGGAGACCGGACGCCTCTTCCAGAGCGTATGACGTCATAACCCGGCACATACATAGGACACACGCCAATTGGGCAGCAAGCCCAGACGATTATTCCCCCCACGAAGGTACTCCTGCCATAATGGCCTGCCACCGTGACACCCAGCAAGCAGGAGCGCATGGCGAATCCCCCAGCTATCCTTAAGAGGATAACCAAAAATACTGTGTTTCTCCGGTTATCCTCATGGAGTCGCCCGGTTATCCTCCTGAGGATAACCTAATAACAATGAGGATGCCTGCCCGGCTCGCCCACAGCTGGACCGCGGAAGCGAAAATGAGCTCGCGAGTCAGTGCGGACACCATGGCGCAAGTCGTACGCTCGTAAACGTCGGCTACGGTCGTTGGTAACATGCTTCTACGGTGCGCATTCGTGACTGTCGTTTGGGTTTGATGAACTCCGCTCCTCGAGATACGGCAGGGCTGAAAGAGGGCTTTCACAGAGGTGGTACTCACAGATCACTTGTTATCCCGTCTACTCTCCTGTAGATGGGATGTCGATGAGACTGCTATCCTCACTAGACGTCAGCGAATATCCGTGTTTCCCACGGCCTACATTTCATATCGCACTGATGAACGATCAATATGCATGCAGGCTAATTTCGACAGCATTTTCGTGCCAACAGTGCATGAATCTGACCTCTAAGGTGACGTGATGTGTCTATTTAACGCGGCAGACCAAATGCAGGTCGGTGATCTGTCCGAGCCTGAGCGACCAGCGATGTGAGGCCCGCCTTCCCCGCCGCATCGTTAGATTGCTTATCGACGCATGTAACTACTGCGGCCATTAGTGTCGCAGCCTCTCACGTCTGTCGCTGCGTGGAGGCCAGTGAACTCGTCCCACTCACGAGTCACGAGCTCGTCGTCTCCCACACTCGCCTCTGTGGCAACCGCGCGGTGCTGATCGCTCACATCTGACCTCCAAAGCACAGGTCGCTCGCGCAACTCGCGCCCGCACGCCCTACCCTCACGTCACACCGCTGCTACCCCTTCCGCTGCACTCACGAGTCGCAGGTGTAGCGGAGCTCCTCCATGAGCTGGCCGGCGGGTCACATCGGGTCAGCCCGCCGGCGCGGCACCGCGCACGGACAGCGGACAGCGCGGCGGACGGCGCGGACACGACCGGACAGCGCGGCGGCCGGCGCGGACACGGCCGGGCGGCGCGGCGGCTGGCCGGTGCGGAACAGCGCGCTGGCGCAGCATCAGCCGGCGCCGGCCGCCGGCCGACCACACACCGGAAGCGGGTGGGCGGGGCCGCGCGGCGCACGGCGGCCGCAGCGCGCCGGCCGGCCGCCGGCCCCGCACACACCCCCGCACGCGGACACGCCGACACACAGGCAGACGCGGACGCACACTGGCACGCGCAGCCTGGCGTACGTGGACGCCCCGACAGCGCGCATGCTGTGAGCTAACCGGACACATACTGTGAGCTAACCAGACACATGCGGCTGCAGGCGTGCACGTGCGACCGCTCAGCCGCAAAGACCAGCTGGTGCTACGAATTTTCTTAGAGAGCGACTTGTTGGAGGCTACTGCGGTGCAAAATGTAACTGATTGATTGGGTTTGTTTTAAATTGAGCTTGGTTGAGTACAATATATCCTGTTTGACGTCAACTAATGACGATGCCGGTCGCTGTCTATCACCCTACCATTTCACTTCGATGTGCAACCATGGATGCGGGAGAGGGGAGCAGTCTGTTCCAGCAATGCCATCCACACGTTTCGCCGTTGTACGAAACATCAATCACATTTCCATCTACACGTGCACAAGGCAACTTTTCTTATTAAAACACGACTTGGGCTTATCTGCGCTGGTGACGACCACTTGACACGGAAGACCGGTGCGCGCCGCAGGCACGCGGTCACAGGTGCGCTTCTCGGACAATGAAGGTGACAGAGCCTGCCCCTCCCCTCCCCCTCCCCCATACGCGGGCTGCATTCATGCTGACGCCATCGGCGGGCTGTGACGTCCTTGTCCGACTGGCGTGGGCTCCGAGGAAAACGAGGTCACGTATTTATCAGGCCGGGATGCAGTTGTCAACAAGCGTACTGGCTGTCGTTGTCAGGGAAACTGTGTCAGACTTTTTACGACGGAACTATTCTCTTTGCTGGTGGAATAACACAACGAAGCAGGAAAAAGGACGCTAACAACGGAAAAAGCGATTGTATCTCCTCAACATTCGCTAATCGCCTGAATACTATTAGCCCGCGCCATGGTGCAATGAGAAAACTCGTTATTAGGACGACGAAATAGCCCTGCTTTGACTAGCATCGTCTTGCCGATCCGGGGAGCTGAAAACACGTCACTTCAGAGCTCGCCTCCACCTACAGCCTCTCAGCGCCGGCAGCGTGCTCACCTCTCGCGCTCGCAGACGAGGCACAGCCAGCCACGCCGGCCGTGCTCGTATCTGGCGCAGCGGCGGCAGACGCTGGCGCCGCACAGCTGGCACTCCAGCCGCTTGTTGAAGAGGATGCGGAAGGTCTGGCCGCAGCGGAGGCAGGCGCGCCGCGCGTTCTTGTGCCGCTGCTCCTGGCTGCGCTGGCGCACTGTTTCCTCGTGCACCTCGGCCTCGATCTTACTGTGGACACGGCAGCGGCCAACAGTCAGGGCAACAGTGAGGCTCGTCACGAACTGCTGGTGATGGGGTGGCAGCATTTGATTACTGCTTAAGCGGGGTTATACACACATGACACTGCACTGCCCCCACTCAATGCTCCCTTGGTCGAAACTCCCATTCCCGCATGTTAAAAATTCACAGCACATAGCTCTTGTTAGCTTTCTTGTCCTTTAAACTTGTATTTTTAAAAGGAAACATGCCACTTTTGTACTTTTCACGTATTGTTAGATAAGACGCGTCCGATATGATCGGTAATATCAGCTCTACCGAAATCCTTCTGAAGAGTTTAGAATTCCATTTGAAGTAGCTGCTCTGGAGGGAGAAATTTAATTGCACACATAATTGGACTCATCTGTTCATCACTAAGAAAGTCATACCTTTCGGTTGCGCGTTTCTAATAATGCGCGTGTTCTGTAATGTTTGCAAAACCCTAATTGGTCAAAGTGCTTCTGCAGTAACTGCTACGGTGGCTTGGAACACTCTGTTAGGGGGTCATATATACAGACCACGCGAATTATTTACGTGCGATTATGATCACGCGAATTCAACGAAAAGTTATGCTATGGTTTTGATCTATCCCAATGGCGTGTAACACAGTGACTCTTTTCGAAGGTCACTTCAGCTTTGGGAAATAGGTTTATCACATGGTCTATGACGCACTCTTCAAATTCCAACCCAAGCGCTACTCGGTAAACGGCCTTCTCCGCCCCATGTGCCAATCACAAACACTCATTTATGACGTCATTCATACCAGTAGAGGCACCACTTTTAGAAGGTGCTTCAAGTCCAACAGCTGACGACGGTCCCTAGCAGATTCTACCGCCGTCAGTTGTTGCTGACTATGTTTACAAGCTGAGGTGACAAGGAAAAAATAATGCTGTGCTGTGACAAAACGTTGACGGCGTAAGTTAGACTAAAAAATAATGCAAAGCAATCTGTTCATTACATCGTAATGTGCTGCAGTGATACTAACCACCGCTGTCATTATATGGAATTGATCATGATGTTTTCCAGAGTACACTTTGGAATACGCCCCAAATGTGGGACAACTCCTCCAAGACCATCGCCAACAGATTGTCCTTCACTTACAGGCGAAGTCAGTTCACACGAAGTAGCAGTGTTTGTATGTCATCCGCTGCCTGTGGGCTGTGCCCCGCAAAAGATCGGGGGGAAATGCGAAACAAGCCTTCCCCGTGACATACAACCAGGTGGTGGGGACCTGCGAATGGTGTCAGAGACCAGCACCGCTGGAGGACGCTTAATGGGACTTACGCTGGCTATGGCGCACCACACGTTAACTAACTCAAGTAAGATTTAGCAGTTGAACATGAGAAGCAAGCCACTCTCAAACGCCTGGATAAAGTAGAGTCTAGAGACGAAACTTTCCAACCCACCGGCATCTGACCCACCAGAACCCGCCGGGTTTTGGCCGAGTTGTGGGTCAGACTTGGCGGGCTTTTGCGAGTAAAAAAATCGACAAGCAAAACATGCACTTTTATATTTTCATTATTCTAGCCAGAGCTCTAGCGAAAAGCCCATCGCAGACATGCCAAGCCACTAAACCATATTGCACAAATTAAACAACTTTACGCAACATCTCACTGAAAAACTCAACAATAACAACCTAAACTTTTGAAGGTTGGCGTGACTTCATTGAGTAGTTAGGTGGGTCATTCCTGTAAGAACCGCTACAAACTGCATTCAGCTGCTATTGAGGGCGGGGTGCACTTTAACTTTCTTGTGTCACACACAAACCATACCGCATAATAAATGTCAATGAATTGAAAGGAAAACCATGTGCCTTTTATTGTCTTTTTTGTTGTCCTGTATTGCCTCGCCGACTTGTCGATAGTCCGCAGCCTTACAGGAGTCCTTCAGGGTAGCAATGCACCAGTGAATTGCTCCAACGAGATCTCGCAATTGCTAAGCAGTGTTATGTTGCTAGATAAAAAACTGACCCCATTGTGCCAAATGAAAGGTCAAATTTTCCCAAAATCGCATTTTTTCAAATCTACTCGCTCATCTGAGCATGATCATCCGTAATAGCGACACAAAACCTAAACAGGCATGCTTTCTGTTCAATTCTGAGTACCATCGTGTATAGCCATCGTGCATAACTTTATAAATGTAACGATGTCTGCCTGCCACGCGCTTTCGCAGCATCGTCGCTTGTCCCCCGCGCAGGTCACTGATCGCCGAGCAGTGTTCCTCAAAAACCGCCACTGCTCCGTAACCACAAATGCTAGGGACATAGTCTCCAAACATGCGTAATGAATATCCCACGGGGCATTGAAAAATTGGACAGAATCACACTGCATACCGGAGAGGTTTGCTCATAAAATCTTACGGGGTCGCATCACCTCCCCCCCCCCCCTCCCCCGCTATCAGGGCGAGGCCCATCTTAAGCTGCTGATAGCTCGCGACCGACTTGACCTCAGCAACCCTTTCGGCTGGTTCAAGCCAGCGACCTCAATCTTTAAACCTGCCCACAAACGAGGCTTATCGCATCGTCTTTCCACGCACGCGCGAGCTCACAGTCACGAGGTGGCGGGTGGCGCGCTGGCTGCGGCTGGCCGTCCACTGCGTCACACCGAGCCTGCGACACGGCTGACAGTTGGCCAGCGGCCGGCGGCCGAGGTCACGGGCACGACAGCCGGCGGTCAGCGCACCCGACGGGACGGAACGGAACGGAACGGCACGGCACGGACGGCGGACCAACGGACGACGGAAGCCACCCGTCGAGGGGCGGACGTTCACAGGAGTGGTGGGAAGAACTCGGACCGGAGCAGCGAGATGCGTCTCGACGAATTAACTCCCCGATCGGGACGTCCATCCAGACCAAAACCATTTCCTAGACGGGGCCGTAATGGACGGAAGTGTTTTTACGAGCGCCATATGACTGGGATGCGAGCAACGACCTCGGCGTTTTAATGTGGTTTCAAAAGATACGAGCTTTGAAACTGATTTAAACAATACGGAAATGCAGGTAATATCACTGCGAGCTAAAAATGAGAGCACTTGCCTGGCGAACCACAGGAACCACTCGTCTAAACTGCCAAACCGGTACCGCCCGAGGCGCGGGTCATACCGTGACCTCCTCGGCATGACCCGAAGCAGATCACGTCAGGTCACACTGAGCACTCGTCTCTACAATCCGCCGTCGGGCCCCGGTCACCCGCCGTTACAGTCCCAGGTCAATGCCAACAATATTCTCTCGGGTCGTGTCACTCACGCGCCACACGGTCCTTGTCACTCGAGGTCCGCACAGGGTGACCGATCGCTCGAGTCACCAGCACTGCCCACCCGCTCGAGTGTCCCCGCGCTGCGCCACGTGAGTCTTTCGATGGGCTGCACGCGCACCCCATCCTCGTCCGTCCGCGAGGGCTCTCGGCGCGCCACGTGTGAGCCCGGAACCGCGAAGGTCGCGCCACTCGAGCGTCCCGCGACGCCGTCACGACTGCGCCGGCCCGGCGCCGCCCGCGCGCGTCACGCCGACCGTCACGGCCGCTGTGACGGCGTGACGCGCGGCAGGGGCGCGCCATCGATCGGCGGACAGACGCGGCGCGGCCGGCCCAGCTGTGGTCCGCAGCTGGGGACGCCGGGTCACCCCGCTCGCTCCACTGGCGCCGCCGGTCGCCGGCGCCACGGCGGCGGCACGGGGTCAGCTGAGCGGTGCACGGTCAGGTCATGAGGAGCCCTCATGTGGGAGGCAGGAAAACGGGACGATTGTGTTCCTTTGATTCGTGCGACAATGCTCTCTCACTCAACACCCCAGCGCGGCACCAACGGAGCAATTTGGCGAGCCGCGCGATATGCTCGCTCACATCACCCCAAGCACGTGCTCTTGATCCGCCCTTGTACGGCATGGCAGTTAGTGATTTAGAGCACTGCCCACAGCAGCCACCCAGCGGCACACCCACGGCTGAGCCAAGGTCACCCCTGCCAACACGGCACCATTCGTCCATCATCGGCTCATTATCACAGTTTCGAATCTTAACATGAAGCCCGTCAGGCCTATGGTAATTCATGGAAAGACCGACTTAACAAGTCGTAGTTACTAATGGAGCCTCAATATTTTTGTAAAGTGACGACCATGGGGCACGGACGCAATTTCGAAAGATAATTTGGTGGGGGGGGGAGACTGAGCACGGAAAACGACAAAAACTGCACCAAACGACGCCTTCCCTTCCCCCGAAAAACAAGCTCCTCTGAATTTTCCCAACTTTCTTCTCAAAATTAGGAAACTGAAGCCTTTCCAACAATGTACCGAAGGACGACCCCCCCCCCTCGCCCAGTACGGTTAGGCGCCCGGGGGGGCCTATCCGGCGACGCTGTCGTCTTGGTATATAAAAGGAGTCACGACAAGACCACGTGATTGCAAGACATCCTTTACATGCCAGCCGTCCTGATGATAGTCTGAAACAGACGCCTCTATTGCCAGTCGTCCTGATAATTTCTGTCAAGGGACTGCTCTATTGACAGCCCTCCGATGATCGTCTGATAACAGACGCCTCATTGGCACAGGCGGCATGCCGAAGCATGCACACGGGAGATGTACTGCTCGCATGAAAAGCAATACACCGGAGTGTCAGCTGCTAATAGACTGCATGGATAACTCAAACAACACGCTCCGAATGACAGACCGAGGCCCGTTGCAAACACTGTCCTTCACATTGTCTGGCAAACGCCATGTGGCGTCGCAGGTGGACATTCAGGTGAGGGAACACATCTGCAAACACGACGCGTGCTACTCCAGCAGCGAATCCATTGGAGCGGCGCGATGACTGGGTTCTTGTCGGTAATTGCTAATTAGCCGTCCCACCCAGTGTTAATCGAAGGCATGACAAAGCCCGGAAGCCAACACGACTACCGGAGAAACCTCTCACGACCCACCGGCGGGGAGACAGCGTCACGGACGCAAAGAACGCCGGCCAGTAGCACGACAAGACCGCTACACCCAC